ACCGCTGCCAGCATGTTTCAAGCGCGGGTAGAGCATAAATAATGACACGAGTTTGACACAGATCATAACTTTGTGGAAGCAGCCATGTTTCACAGATTGACAATACACAGCGCCCTCTGTTGGCTAAAGGGTGCATAGTACATATTGTTACAGAAACAACGGACACGAAAAAAACAGTCGTCAAAATCAAAATCATCTCTATTTCGCCTTACAAATGTGACATGTAATTACAAATTGTTACTCCTTCCTTCAGAATTTGATAAACAACAAATGAAAATAACCGTCTTCAAATTCAAAATGCAAAATTTTAATAAATGTATAGGCCTACACCTGCAATAATGTGACTCATTCGAGGGGAATTCCGAACCAATTGCAGATAAGAAACTGGTTTTTCCCAGAACAGAAATAGTTTTGGTCTCTTTTCAAAAAACATTTGTATGACACTTAAAAAAAAAGGGACTGCCCAACACCAGATGTTTTCACGGTGAATTTGGATTTATGCTAATGATTAACACGGCACTCACAGAATCAACACTGTCGTTAATCATAAACTGCGTAATGAATGCTCCGCAGCATTGAACGCAAGATTAATGTTTTATCAATGTAAATTTCCAGGGTTGAGATAAACTGTAGATGACTCATTTTACAATTTCTATGTGGTTTTTATAGTTATCACACACTGTTAAAAATGCCCGTAAATTTACGGACTCCGTAAAGTGAAATATTCCATATTTTTGGCGTAATTTTACGGACTCTCCGAAAATGCAAATATTAATTATGCTAATGAGCGTGATTACAATCAACCACATCGGCCCAAACACCTACACATAATATAGTACATCTAAGTACATATTGTCATTTTGCCCACAACCGTGTACACATGTCCAAACTCATGTTAAGGGTCTGTATATTCAACGGTTTTAATTATGGTTAATCATAATATTATTTGAGAATACAAAGTTATCAGGTGAATGTTTTATAAGTCTGCATAACCGTGCATCTTTTTTTCCCCACTTTTTTTTTAAAGATGGATATATCGCATTTTGAAACTAAACTCTATACATGCAGCCTCGTTATAATTTTTTTTTTATTACTCTGTTGTATCTGAATGATATTGTAAAATAATCTCTTTATTTAACAAATGATAAATTAAAACGTACTCAAGTTTCTCAATTCTTGAAGGACTTCAGCAGTAACAACCACGACTTGAGTAAAAAAAAAAAAAACGTGACTGGAGTTCATACATATTCACAAACAATAGGTTACAATTGCCATCTTTTTTACTCTTGTGTTAGTCTGATTATACTGTCCTGCTCAACCTGTTTTAGTAAATTGCCAACGTCGTTTATCGTTAAAAAAAAATAATTACAGATCCGTCATGGTGTTATTTTGACACCGCGTTATTGGCAGAGTGTGGTATTTAACTGTATGTTTCTTCCAAGTAAATATTTTCAATATCAATGGCAATAGTGTGGCACAGTACATTGTTCAGCGTCAATCATTGTCTGAAATTGTTCAAAATTCTGAAAATACTCGTAAACTACGGCTGCTGATAACGTTTTACCCCACACGTAATGGCTCTGACGTCTACAACTCGTTTCATTCCCTGTTTAATAAATCACTCGGCCTTCATGTAGATGGTGTTTCCGATTCTCGTGTGCGTTTCTGTTTAAACCTACAATCTTAGCCCTTCGCCACCGCAAACATTTTGCAATAACCTCGCTATCAGGTCAAACATTGGTAACCTTTTAATCATCAAAGATAATATTTACCGCTGCGGTTTACCTTGTGGTTTTCCTATCTGTTCATGGTCATAAATATTTGTTACTGTCGATTTATTTATCAAACCAAACGTTAAAGATGAACGGACACCGTGGTTTCGCGCCAAAATCTCAAGAGGCGCGAGTTAATAAAGTGGCCATTTATCTGACTTCCGGTAACACTTCAGGTACTAATAATTTGATAATTATTAATTGATTCTAGTGTACGTGTCACGGAGAATGTTTACGCGTTCCTCAGTGTCTTAGGATAATCCCTTGTTTTACATGTAGATGTCATCAAAATTGGATTACCAATCGAAAGTTAAACAGAATACCATGAGCTGTGATTCCTTTGTGGCCACTATTGTTATAAGGATGTCGTCAACCTTGACGATATAATTGAATATTTCGACGTATCGATCTGATTTCCGCTGTCTGTATTTCAGCATCAAGATCTGACGATTACCACACAGGGATAAACATGGAAAATACACATGTATTAGTCTATTCGAGACAGCAGTTATCGAATGTTAAAAAAGGACGGCAATAACTCTTTCAAACATGGTGTCGTTCAAACTCTTTGAATATTAGTAATTAAAACCAATCAATCTTCTTCACGTCTATTGCTGCCCTTCGTGACTTTTTAAGTGTAACTAACGTGAATTGCTCTTTACCCCAACAAGAAAAAAGGGGCATAATTTTTATAATTATGTGATGCGATCAAGCTACATGAGTCGTTTGTCAACACTGGTTAAACAAATTATTACAGATTTCAAAAGGGTACAATCTCAGCATTACTGCTGTGAACACTGCATGCTGATACCATCTTTAGTTCAAAAATGATGGAAGTCGGGACACCAAGAGATGTGATGAAGTGATGTGATGAAGTGGCCCTATTTTGGCCTGCATCTCCAAATAAAAATTCCAGACAAACGACTCATTTAGCTTGATCGCATCACATATGTGCCTGCGCTGTTGGAAAACCAAGTGATTTTTGTTAAATCTCTCAAAACACCACTCAACATAGCCTAAAGCAAATTATCCAACAGGTTTGTATTTGTTAGTGCTGGTTGGCAAATTACAACGCATTTGATGAGAACAAAAGGTGGAAAAAGTTTAACATGACACCTGCAAGATTGCAGCCACCGCGCACCGCGTCACGTGCCCCATTAACCCCGCTGCTTTCGAGATAAAAAGCTTAAACTTCCGGCAATGCCACGCAGTGCAGGTTCACAGCCAGCGGTATTCAAGCCCAGTACAAGCCTTGCACATCGCTTCAAGTTCAGACAGTAAACACCCCATTCAAAATTCACCAACCGACACCTTTTGTATCGCGACCCTAAGCAAATATACGCTGTTTGAACACTTAAAGTGTGTTCTGGAAACCGCTACAATAATGGGTATAGCGAATCAAATTGTGAGGGACGCACTATATGGTAAAGGTTAATTTGTTACAGTACTTTGTTATCTAAACTTGACGCGCAAAACCACGAAGTTCGTCATGAAAAAGTGGCATGGATAATTATTCGTGTTTTTGAACTCTTTAAGGCTGGAACGTGAAGTTTTGTTAAAAAATATTAAGCTGAACAAAGCAGGTTGAATTTGAGATTGTTTTAAAGGATATTGATTAATTTCTTTAACCCATTGTGAGCTTTAACCAATTACTGGCGCACATTCCCGCTGCTAATAGAGCTGTAGTGGGTATAGGGCTGAGTATATTTACTGCCCAACATACACGCGCTTTAACTTAAGCTCACTTGCACTGTGTCGTAGTGGGGCAATATAAATTGCCTTGTATTTACGATTAACATGATGCAGATAAGCCATGGTTGACTGAAGTTGGTTGGCAACCGTGTTAGTCAGGTAAATACACGTGGAAAGTGTACATATACTTTAATTAGCTTGGGGTAGCTTCAATTACTTATTACAATACACGTGGAAAATGTACATACACTTATTAACTTGGGGTAGCTACAATTACTTAACAAGATGCAAAGATGAGGTTGTATCGGACGAAGACGTTGCTGCTATGAAAGCTAATTCAAACTTTTCATTATGTTAGTCATTAAATTGATATGGAACATTTCCACGTGAATTGGGCAATGTTTCACATCGAGATTTAAGATACAATATGAGGCCTAAGTGGCAGGCTCATGTCAGTTTAATTTCATCTTTATCAATGCCTACTTCACTGGAGGGCGTCAGTCTTTGGTGAGGCTAATCCATGTTTGATCCCCAAACTGACTATATGCATATCCCGATAAATCCCAGCCCGCCGACCAATAATTCTAGCATTACTGTACTAGGAGTAACAAGTAACTCTCAACCTTTCTCACCTGCTGTAGGCAGGTGAATGGAAACCCAAAAGGTATTTTTTGGCACACAAAAGGCGGGAAAACATAATACCTTCGTGACAAGTTGAATGAAACTACAAATAGGTGCAGTAGTTTCCAGACTGCAGGTGGCCAGCCCCGCGTTTCCTTTTTGTTGTCTGGAAAATTTTAGCCTGATTTGGTTTCTTTGTACTCTCACGAAATATCCCCCAAATTTTTTTTACAGCCATTGTGGACATGTTTTCGCTAGTTTTCGTGAAATTATTAAGAAAAAAAATGGCATTTTTGTGTTTATTGTGAAAGAACACATATATCATATCGAGCATTCAAATTTGAAGATACAAACGATAAAAAGATATAAGGAAGCAATAATGAATTTTTTTTACAGCCATTGTGGACATGTTTTCGCTAGTTTTCGTGAAATTATTAAGAAAAAATGACATTTTTTTGTTTAATGTGAAAGAACACATATATCATATCAAGCATTCAAATTTGAAGATACAAACGATAAAAAGATATAGGGAAGCAATAATGACTACAAATTGTATAAAAAAATATTATATTCGAATGGCAAAACTAAATGAATTATAGGAATTAACCATTTACGCGGTTACGTTACACATTAATCATAAATTACGGACCTAGACATAATGGGGAAAAATGTCGGCTGTATCCTCGTAAGGAAATGGATTTGTTCCACTTCTGTAAAGCTGGGTACCATGGCGGATCTTACTGCCGAACAAGTCATGACAACCATAATTTGTATTTGGTCGTTTTCTCAAAATAATAATGCAGTTTTTGGTTCTTGATATACGATTGGGCTTACACGTAAGTTCATGATAGGGAGTACTGCCCCTCCCATTTTTCTTTGGACAAATTAACCACACAAAGACGAGCTTAAACTCACCGTTTACTGTTGCCACAACAGCCAGGGCAAGCACGAGCAATACTGTTACGAATGTCGTCTCCATCCTGTGAAATCTCACAACAGATTTCTTCTTTGAAGAGAGAAGTCAGAAAAAATATCCACGTTAGCTAACGTTCCCGCCTTGCAAAAGAGCGGGAGGAACAGGCTTACTCAGAGTAATAGCGTTGGCTGATTGGGAAACGACGCGTCGACTTTGAACTTAAATCGGTTGGTTTTGGGCGCGGTGAGACGGCCGGCGGTGGGGGCGTTTTATGCAAATTAATTCCCCATTAGGTAAAAGCATCCAAATACTAGCAAAGTTGCCAGATTGGCGAATCTGGTTCAACTCACACACAAGCTCCGCATGAAGATTATTCCATAAATTCGCATGAATGAGACTTTACAATGCTTGGAAAGAAAGTATGGTTTTGGAGCACAATAACCACACCCCTGTTCCCAAAGTGGAACGGGCCAGACCCACGGTTCAAATTCCACGTTCGCGGCAGACAACGTGGAACATTATTAATATTGCAACAACCACTCGCATTATTATCGGACAAACAGATTTGAGCGCGTAATTCCCCTCCTACGTGTACACAGCTTATCTGGAAAAACCCTGAATACAATTTTGTTTCTAGAATATCAATATACAGGATTGGGTGTGTGTGTGTGTTGCAGTATTCATTCAGATTCGAGATGGGGAGGGGGGGGGGGGGACATATTATTCGACTAAAGTGTTAGTCATTAAGGTGTTGATACAATTTTGTTTTTAAGTTCGTGATAATTTTTTTTATTAAATATCTCAGGTATAAAGGTATTCTCTTATGCATTATGTGATGTAATACTCGCGAAATTGAATTTACAGACATTTTAGACGCATGCTCTTTGTAAAAGAAAACAAAGAATCAACTAAACTAATGGAGACCAAGACAAGTTCTTTTAGAATTTAAAGCAGGACTGTTCTAATCAGAACAAAAACTACATAGCGAAAAATGATAATAAGCAGGATAAGTTATTTTCAGAAATAATATTTTTTTAAGCAGTAGTTATAACCACATATTACCGCAAACCGGAACGATAAAATAATGTGTTTCTCAGGATTCTTTGCTTAAAAAAAAAAAATTAACACAAATTGACAAGGTTATTTGAATGCAATAAAACAATTGTCCTTCCATCGCAAGGTTGTGGATAAACATGTTTATCAATGGACAGAAAGTTTCGTTGTCATCTCTTTTGGCAACACACGTTCCAAGCATGCGCAGTAGTGATGCACTGAATCCCGTTATATTTGGTCTTGAAGGGAAGGTGAGCGTGGTGATGTGGTGATGATAGTCCGGCCATGGTGGTGACAGTGGTGAAGATGGTGACAATGACGATGATTTCTTGATACTAAACATTATACCCGTGAACTGAAACACCCAGAAAAAAATCATGTAGATGTATAATTAGTAATTTTTTATTATTATTGTTTTTATTATCAAACTCTCGCGACCAAAAGGCCGAATTGTGGTTCGATGTGCAATTAAATAAGTATATAAAAAGGTTAATAGTTGTCACATTAGTCATTAAAAACAAAAACCTAAAATTATATAATACATGTATTAGATATAAACATTACACGTATGGTTTGAGAACATCATGCACAGGGGTGTATCAAGCGGGAGGGGGATTTAAGAGGGGTATTTAGGTTTGCTTATTGTGACGTGTCCCCCCCCCCCCCAATGTTTTTGTAAAGACTGCACTTTTCTATTCAAGTGCCCTTTTTTAACAGCGTTTACCCCCCCCCCCCCTCCCCCCGCCCCAACCCTTGAATGTGGCATGTGATACGTGAGGTTTACGTCTGAATAGACCGCATAATACGTTTCAAGTTTCTCCGAGGGTAGGCTTAATATAGACCAATCAGGGCACGGTATCAATTCTATCACGAAGGCCCCCTTCGATGGCGAAAGTATTGTGTTAGCTATTGTTCAGATAAATCTGTCAAGGGGCAGTTGCTTTGTATAATCATAATCATGCACAATGGTTTGTCCATTGAAAGGGGCCCGTGTGTGTGCAGCGACCACGCGTCCGGATATTCACACATGCATGTACAAGCGATGCAATACTATGGCCCCTCGAATCCGCCTTGACGCTAAAGGTCGACTTTCATTAAAGTTTGACTCATCTTCTTGCTTGAACTAAACTATATTGTTTTAACTAGTTTTTAATTTCTGATAATTTTCTGACTCATATTCTTGTTTTTTTGAAAAACAAATATAAAACGTGGCATGAGTAATAACCACTGGAATTTTGTTTATTTCTCATGTTTTGTTTAAGTACAAAGTGTGTACATGCCCATGTTTTTAATCATTTTTGAATAAATGAAGATATGTCGAGTGGAGTAAGCGGTGAGTCATGGGCAAATAGCAGTTGTGACATAATCTAAAAGGAATTCAATTAACGCACTATCCCTCTGGTATTCCATTTATTCCAATCAATTATTATTCTGTTGATTACACCGGAATTACAAAGCGAAAGAGAACTTAGAGCTGATCGTTGAAGGCGGAGCGGCGATTAACATTAAGGCTTGTTTTGTCACCTAAGCGTCCATGTCCGATCAGTTATTGTTTCGGAGTTAATGATTGACTTATGGTACGATGTTGATGCAAGCTACCCACGCGCCCAACCGGGCAAAGTTCATTGCATTGCCGCAGAGGCGCTGAGCACAATTAAGGGCCATTGTTTGAAACCCCGACCTCACCTCAGACTGAGGCTACATTCTGCAGCTTCGTGATTTGTGGCAACCGACTTGAGTCCCACGAAAGCAGCCACTGTTTTGCGTCTTCCAGTATTTGCATATATTATTGGCCACGCATTGTTTCGGTGTCGAGTTGAAGACGCATCTGGAGACAAATCGGGTTTTGAGAAATGCCAAATGGATGACTTGCATTGGGTGAAGGGTTTGGTGTACTGCGCAATCGCAACTTCATAAACGCCACCATGGCCGGCTGGTCTTTAGAGCGCCCGCATCGGACAGAATTTCTTAACTGCCGGGACCTGATTGATTGCTGCATCGTGATTGGCCGCAAAGCGAGTGATGGCGCTATTACCGCGAAGGCACACCCCCAGCCCCGTGATCAAACAATATCTCCTAACTTTGCCCTTTAACCTTTGCATTTTGTACCAAACGATTTTTTTCTAGAAGCTGACTAATTGATAACAGGACAGAGGGCCTCAGTCAAGCCAAGCTCGGGGTTCCAATAAAAATATGAGGAGAACACCGAGTATCTGCTCAGCTTTGGATTTGAAACATCATGGCGCGGCGTCAGGCCCGGGCAGGGTTGTCTTTTGTTTTGTTGCAACTCAAGCAACAGACCGCATTCGACGTTGTTGATATAATTACATATGACAGCCACTGATTTACACAAAATGAGATTTCATTATGAATACGAAGAGTGAAAATTTCTTCAGGAAGACTTGATATCTGTTTTATTTTTTTTTTTTATTTTTTTTTTTAAATACAGCAGTATAAAGGGAGAGCAAGGGCAAGTTGTAGTCTATTGATGATGGAGTATAAAGCACAATGTAAAGTAACGTAGTCTATAACAAAATATACCTCTTGGTTACAACATCCAAATTGAACCCAAAACCCCCGTAAATTAATATTATTGACTGTCCTCATTGGTTTTCTTCAACATACATTACAGAGCTTCACTTGTAACTGCAATTGATTAGCGAATTGATAGATATTACGTTCTTTCATCATTAAGGCACAAACATCAATCATTAGATTGAAAAGGGGAAAGCAAAACCCTTAAAAATACACCCTAATCTTTATGACATTTATGCATTTTATAATCATTTCAGCATTCATTTACAAAATTAAATATAAATTACTGTAAGGTTTATTAACAAACGTTGCATTGATTGGTTTACTTGCATAATCAGGATTGAACACTGAATATCATCCAAAGAATCGAAAGCACGAAAAACCGTTTAAAACAAATTCAAAATTATGAAAAGCTATGATACTTAAAACTATCGCAAAAAATATATTAACGACATATTAATAAGCGTTGCTTTATTTAATGTGAATCAAACAAATGTACAATAATTCAGAATCTGTTGACGATAATGCTGATAAATATGTAAAATAAAGAACCTTCTTCTAAAGAATAAAGTGAAAACTGAGTATTCGGCGATTTTAAGTAGTAGCCTGAACGTAAACAAAATGGATAAGGTAAGTATACGTTTCCTATGAGACAAGAACAATTTACTAAACAAAATTGAAAAAAAGGGGCACAAATCGTCACCGTTTTCACGAAGAGCAACATATGTCGATTTTGAAGAAAAAGTGTTTTCGAGATAATCGCAAAAGAAGTTTCTCATATTTTAAAACTGCAAAACAATACCACTTTGCAACAACTTTGTGAAGCAAGGAAACCATCACACTATTCTGTGTGAGCTGGATTTTTACATGAACCCAGTAATAAGACTTAATTCAGCAGTTAATTAGTGAAAATTAATTAGTAAAGATATGTGGCTCTTCGTGAAAACGCAAATTCAGGTTTCCGACATATAGACCGCTTGCAGACGCGTTCGATAATTGACGCGCGAAGGTGCGCGACGCCATGTTGTGGGACAAAATGTGCATGGATAGATATGCGCTTGTCCCACAACATGGCGTCGCACGCCTTCGCGCGTCGATTATCGAACGCGTCTGCAAGCGGTCTATTGGCCCTTTCTGTTCAATGTGTATTTCCATAGGCGCGCGTGAGTACGCGCGCGCAGCTGAAAATGTAACAAAGATATGTGGCTCTTCGTGAAAACGCAAATCTCATTTGACCTACTTTTACGTATTTCCGTGCAATGGGTTTTGTACGCGTTCAAAGGGCCAAAATGTATGTGGCTCTTCGTGAAAACGCAAAATTCATTTATCGAGATTTTGGCCCCTTGCAACATTAATGTAACTTGGAAATTAATGATGTTTTGCTTACAAAAACATGTCAAAATGGTTAAGTACATTGTTTTAAAGCATAATATTGAAAAAAAAATCAAAATCGAAAAAATGGAAATTTTGACATATGTGGCTCTTCGTGAAAATGGTGACGAAATATTCAAAAGCAAACTAAATTAACAAACTGATTTTTCATACAAGTAAAAGTCTATTTATTACAATACATTTCCTTGTTCTCGTTATACACACATTTTACATTAAGACAACATAACTTAGAAACCATCTCGGAATAAAAGCAAAGAAACGTTCCATTGATAAAGAGTGCACTTGTTGAGTCAACACACTAAGTTTCTTCAACATTTTCTTTCTGTCAAACTTGTTTTCATTGATCTTACATTTTGATTGAACATATCTTCAGGGTGAATCAGAATGATCTGGACCCAAATTAAAGAAAATATTAAAAATATGTAGCAATTATCAAAACAAGTGCAAATCAGATATGTTACAAGCTGGTATTTTGGACATATTTGGTGAAAGTTTCATGTATATCCATTGTACTACTGAAGAAAAGCACTAGCAAAGAACACACAATAAAAAGAATCTGACCACGGCCCCAAATTTATTGAAACCGCGTACTGATGTGACTGCATTTCAAACAGTGCAGTCACATCAGTATTTTTTTATTTTTTTTTTTAATGCAAACACTTTATGTTTGATATGACAAAAACCTTAAAAGTCTTATAAAACCAAAGAAAAGTTCGATAGATAGTTATATAGTACGGTTATTACAGACTCGTCCAGTACTTGTTCTTGTCAAATGTTTTCAAGCGAAGTTCCCTCAGACATAGATAAGAAATAACGAATAATATGGGTTATTTTTAAGTTGTGGGCTGTTTGTTCTTTGTCAAAATAGGTATTGGGTGGGTTTGCATGTTTGTTTCGGATTTGCTTACCGTTGAAGCTGCAAGTCAGGACTTATGGTTTGTACCCGAAATTCATCTTGACTCAGATGAATAATTCCCTTACGGGAGGTTTGTCATCTCCGAGATCGGCAATATCTCCGCCATCGCTCCAAGAAGGCATGTCGCCCTCCTCCTGGCCTGGTCTGGCTCCCTTGCTCATTCCCTGTTGTGTGTTACCGGCACCGATCCGGGAGGCCGGCCGGTCCTTTCTGGACGGTTTGGTGGGAGGGGTAGGCTTGGCACTGGCGCCCTCCGCCGGTACCTTCTGGCCATCTGACATTGTTGGCTTGTCATCAGCGGAGTCATTGGCCAGGTCATCGGGCTCGTCATATCCTTGCGTTGAATTGACGTCCGGCCCCTGCCAGATCCCGGCCGGATTGTCATCAGTGCCGGCGTCACCAGCACCGCGCGCAACCACGTCCGGCATGGGGGCCTCCGGGCCGTCAGCCGGTGCACCTGAGGCGGATTTCGACCGATGCGCAGCCTCGGGGTCGGCGATAGTTGTTTCCCCGACCTCTGCCTTCTCGATGCCCAGATTCTCGGTCATTGCCACGACGTCATACGATTGTCTCGACCAGGGTGACCACCCTCGCTGCAAGAATCAAAGAGCAACAAAGTATTGGAATCAAAAAGTTACCTTACAAAGTAAAACTGAACCTCAAATGACCCAATCAGACAAAACAATTACAGCGACTGGCTAAATGATATCCACGAATAACATCAAGACAATTAACAAAGCACATAGGCCCTGTAGATATCAAAACACATTTCTATCAAAGATGATATTTTGAAGTGAATACAAGTACATTTAGATTGAATAAAAATTGATCGAGATAATAACTTCGCCTTAACCGCTCGGCCACGACTACTGCGCGGTCCAAATTGTTGAAGCTTTTGAAATCTAATAGGTGCGTCCAGCAATTAATAAAAAGAAATTCGTAGTCGGCAGGATTCGAACCTGCGCGGGGAGACCCCAACAGATTTCTAGTCTGTCGCCTTAACCGCTCGGCCACGACTACTTCTCGATCAATGTTATCACAGGTTTGTAGATGAAACTTTAGTTTAGGTAATATTTGAAGTGAGTCAAGTAATTGATAAAAAAAATCCGTAGTCGGCAGGATTCGAACCTGCGCGGAGACACTTCAAAAGATTTCTAGTCTGTCGCCTTAACCGCTTGGCCACGACTACTGCGCGGTCTTTCATTTCAAAAGTGTGTAGATGAAACTCTAGTTTAGGTATATTTGAAGTTAATCCAGTCATTGATAAAAGAAATTCGTAGTCGGCAGGATTCGAACCTGCGCGGGGAGACCCCAACAGATTTCTAGTCTGTCGCCTTAACCGCTCGGCCACGACTACTGCGCGATCTTTAATTCCTAAGGTTTGTAGATGAAACTCTAGTTTAGGTAATATTTGAAGTTATTCCAGTAATTGATAAAAGAAATTCGTAGTCGGCAGGATTCGAACCTGCGCGGGGAGACCCCAACAGATTTCTAGTCTATCGCCTTAACCGCTCGGCCACGACTACGCGGTAATTACCCTTCCCGAAACACTTGTAAACAGTAATTTAGTAAAAGCTGATGAATGTCAGCTTTTTCGGTTAGTCTTTCTTTATCCATATCACACGTGTCATCCTTAAGAAAAGTATTCAACTGAAAAAAATGACTCGAACGGGATTTGACATTCTCGGTATTTGAAAATTCCTAGTCCAGAATATGAGATCAGTGCTCGCAATGACAGTTGAACGACGGATGATTAAATAGGCTTAGCTATAATTGTCTTGCCCATAAACACAATATTTTTTATATGAGAGAATGTTGTTTCCAGATATGGGTCACACAGCAAAATTAATGGGGAAGCTCTCACTTGATTGAAATCTTAAAATCAAAGATAGGAACAATTATTTTATGGATTACAGTGGCACGTAGGCTGTAACCGCTGGAGGGGGGGGGGCGTCGGGGGGGGGGAGAAGAAGATAGGTGCTAGGTTTTGCTGCATGATTTTCCTTGTTTGCGGCTCGAGGGTGTTATAACACCCACCCCCCTCCCCCTCCGCCACTGCAGCATGTAAAATAACGTCATTATTAACCCGGGATTTGAACCCGCCAACAGCGCCCTCGCTCGTCAAAATAATGGCCAATAGAAATCGATTTGCTTTCGCTCGAGGCCGCGGCCAATCTCTGCAGCCAACTTGGACAGTTTGAGACATATTCAGTTGCGGCACTACGGGAGGGCATGGGGAATTTGCTTCCCCCTCCCCTACTTTGCTTCCCCCTCCCCAATTTTAGAGTCTGGCGCCGCAACTGATAACTATGCGTATAGCCTTACCGGTTTTCTCTTGTAGCACATGATGCCGCACAATATGGCGCCCAGACAGACGAGAACCGCCAGGACTAGACCGATGCTGATTCCAATGGTCCTACCGCGACTACCGTCATCTGCCAAAAACAAAAAAAGGTTTGTATTTAACATTTTTTAAAGGTACGGGTAAGTACGCCTCGTAAATAGGGTTAAGATACCGGACCGCCTCTGTATCTTGGGACCAACTTCCACCAGTTGGGAAACTACTAAAACTTAACTTTTTGGGGGGTTGAGTGCCGGTCGAACCCTTGACTGTTTTACTACTTCATATTTGGGTTTGAAGCACTTTATCTGCTTCTTAAAACTAAAAATCTGAGTTAGAAATTCGTGTAGATTCCATGTAATTTTTGAAGGATTTTTGATAACGAATCAAAATATCCTGCAAAAATGCATGAAAACTAGACAACTCATAATGTCGAACCATCCAAAGTAATGTTGTAACAATATTAATTTACACTTCAAAGACACAATTAAGTGTTATTAAGACTCATTTGAATTCATTAACTACTAACAGCTGCACTACATTCAAGGGCGGGTCCAGAACCAATTTTTCGGGGGGGGGGGGGGCAGGGCTGCATGGGTCGATTTCTTTTCTTCGCAAACAGGTGAGGGAGATTAAGCATATATGCATGTGCTATTTCCACTTTGCAATATTAACACTTAAAGGTAAGTGTAGCTGACGGCGTGCGAGGGAGATGCGCAAATTTTTCATTTATATCCTAAAATTGAAAATAATAAAATAATTCATAGTTCATAGAAAATGATATTAATATATACGCGTTCCATTCCCGTCCCATGATTAAAAAAAGCGAGGTGCCTTATTTTTTGACATATTTTGCAAGTATTCTGAGAAACAAAGTACAGAAGAAAAGAAGACAAGTGGAATCTCAGGTTTGATACATTAGAGAGTTCACTTTTCTTTATTACAACATTAATATGTGGTTCTCAAATTTATTTATTGAAATATCATTCCCAATGAACACAAGGAGGGATAATACAAACAGCGTATTTACATGCTTAGCCGGCTTAGCAGATCGATCGTGAATAAAATGAGCTTGCAATGGTGTTTGTGATGACGTTAACATGAATTATGAGGAATATAACTGGATGTTGCGAAATTAAATTTGAATTTCTATCAACAAGTCCAAATGCTATATTGGGAAAAACACTGGAACCGGTTTATTAGGGAAAAAAATCATTGCATATCTCTGTTTTCCAAACATTAAATGAAATTATTCCGACTGCATCTTTTTTAGTTAAATAATTTCATAAAGTCATGAATTCACATACTGCAAAATGCAGTGAACAATATGGAACAAATCCCCCAATAAAAACATGCAAATTAGCACCGACGTTTTTGAAGTGAATTTTAGAGAATGAGAATGTACTCAGAATTGCATAATTTAAAAAAAAAAATCCGACTTTCTATCTTCAGCACGCATACAGAGTATTCTCTGAACGTACAAAATACAATTACCAACAATAACAAATACGATTTTTTTTCAAAATGTTAATTCATTCATGTAAAATGCCAAAATACATCACCGTCATCTGATTGGTGATTCGTTGATCACGTGGCATTCAAGTAACTGTCCCAAACCATGGTCCGGTCGCACCGCACAAATAAAAGTTCCATTCCACGGTCATACTATTCAGGCGTTGTATCAAACCAATAATGAATGTTAAACATTCGCGCAATCGAAGGAATAATTTTATTCGGTGACAGATGGAATGTTCCATCCACTCGTCTTCGCCTCGTTGAATGGAACATTCCATCTGTCAACTCATTAAATTATTCTTACCATTGCACTTACAAACATTTACTTTTTTGGTAAACCACTCAATACATTTTCAGCGTGTGACCCCTTGGTACGTACATGATCGTCTGCATAATAAGAGCAAGGATTATTTTGCACGTTATTAGATGGCTTATAGGACAGACTCATATCACACAGTCTACATTTCATAACACTAGAAGTTTCAGATTAAGAAACAAAACTAAAGAATAATGACTTTAAAAAGTATAAAACTTTACACCAAATGGGCAAACACAGTGCTCTCAATTTGGTTTCGGTAGGTAAATTATTACCTTATATACATAAAGAAGTAAGTCTACATTTACATAAAGAATAGTATATTCAAGTGCACTATGGTTATCAGATATATAAAAATGCTTTGCTGTTGGGTACACGTTTTTAATCTGAACTATTTTGTACTTCATCCTAAACAACTAAATGAGGCGGGAATATCTCTATGGAAAAAGAATCTCTAGACATCATGAATACAAAGCAAAAGCGGCATTTCTATGAATTATGTAATTGGAAAACAAACAAATCCTGTATTTATGTGTACATTTTGACTTCGCATTTTGACTTCACGTTTTACTTTCATTGGATGGAAGACAGTGGTATGTTTGCTGTCGGTAATCTAAACCCCATTTATGGGGGGTTGTTTATCCCAAATTCTGGTTTTCAGTGTATATATATATATATCTCTAAATTCTAAAGAGTGAAAATTCACTCCATTCGAGTGAAGATTCACTCCCACAGTCGGAAACTAGGGACTAGACGTTTTAAAGTGAAATTCCTTCAATCGTAAAGATCGAGGTTTCACTCGAGCTTCGACTGAAGTGGGTCATTTTTCAGACTATGTTAATCGAAAATGAGAGTGATTTTTACTCTACAACGTATAGTCCCTAATTTCACTCTTTGGAATTTAGAGAGTAAGTAATGAGTCTCTATTTCCCTTTCGCTTCCCCAAATTCATAAAATTATAGTGTAGCTAAACTGAAACTGAATTTATTTCTTTATAAAGTCAATGCCACAATGCCCACTGTCAATTTTGAAGCACAGAAACGTAACTTCCCAAAGATATTAAAGTAAAGGGTTGTTGTCCAAACCTCGACGACTATTTCATTTGTCAATAATCTCCGAGCCGTTAGACCTCCGAGGCATGACCCGCTACGCCTCCTAAGGAGGCCGAGGCGTTCTTCCCTTCCTCTTCCATTCCCCAATTTTCGGCCGGCGCGTTCACTTTCGTCCTAAAAAAAAAATTAAAAAAAATTTGAAAAATATGCAATTCATAAAACAGCCGTTAGCATGGCATTCATGTTCGTGGATGATTCATTCGTGGGGATCTTGATAACATTATAGTTGGTATTCTACAGAAATTACAGTTTGAGAAATCTGTCTTAGAAAATCATTGACTGTGCATGGGCGTGGTTAAAAATTAATGCCTGGACATGTACAGGAGTTAATCAAAATAGAATGGGGCAAAATTACCAAGACTACAGACAATGTCAACTATGACGCCGAAGACAAAAACAAAAACGCCAAAGCGTCTTTCTCAGATTGTACATAAATTGAACAGTTCCAGTCATAATTTCCAATTCCACCAACATTTGGATTTAAGCAATTAAAACACAAACCATAGAATAGAACGAAATGCCTTTTCTCTATAATCATCATCATTTGACAACGTGCAACTGTGTCAACAAGTGTGATATCACTGCAATGTTCTACACTCGGATTTTGTAGGGTGTGTGCATTCATCAGTTGCTCATGCAAATCAGGCTGCTTTACTATGTTGTGGCTCTTCTGCGCACTCATTTGTTGTTTGTTCTGTTTAAATTATAGTATAGCGCTAGAAGCAGCAATCAAGTTTGGAACAAACTGGGTGATCCAACAGCAATGTTTGTTTGTTTGTTTGTTTTTTTCATTTCACCCATGCATGTCTGTGTCTCCTCTTCGTTCGTTTCTTTACCCTAGTCAATCCATTCAGTAAAGAAGTTTGTATTAATTTTATTTATTTGATTATCTCGCGGTGAAATTTTATGACATTTATCATCAAAAAAGTGACCTACCCGCTTTGCTCCAAGTCCTTTTCGCCAAAACCTCCCCGTCTCAGAAAGAACACCACGACGAGAACGATCAGAGCCACCCCGACCAGGGAACCGATGACGATCCCGGCGATCGCCCCTCCGCTTAGCCCCCCAGCACCCGCTGTTCATAACATGGATGACAAAAAGGCAAGGCAAAGCAGATTAAAAAAAACCCCAATATTTTGTAAGGACTGCCCTATTCCATTCAATTACCCTTTTTTCACAAGCGTTTTCTCCGCCCCCCCCCCCATTTTTTTTTGTAAAAAGTGCCCTTTTCTTGTAAACAAGTGCCCTTGGAAAAAAAGTGCCAGTTTTTAACAGCCGCCTTTATTGGAGTGCCCTTTTTTGGAATTACGCTCGACCGGCTGCAATTGTGCCGCCCTGAAAAGCGCCATTTATTGTCCGATAGTGTGCATAATTGTCCGGTTTGAACAACGCCCCATAGGAAGAAGTTCCCCCCCCCCCCCCCATTTGATTTTACGGAGGCCAAGCGTCCTGAGAGAAAAACACTGTCTACTTTTCAGCACGGATGTTCGAGTGACCTTTTCACAAACCTTTTATCCCCCAATGAAAATGACCTCGCTACGCCTCTGATAATGGCGAACAAGGCACAAAGTGTTCCATGTCTGTTCTCGCTACATGATTTCCACACAATTTTTGCGATTTGAGAGCGCAGACTGCCAGTGTTCTACTTTTCTTCATAAACACTCCGGTTTGAACGAGAAAACAGTCGTCTGGCGAGCCTCATCTTACATTCACATAATGCGAAGCGACTGGGCAGTGTTGGAATTCACCCTACGGCTGTTGCACCCTACTGATCGGGTGTTGATCATATTGCACAAAAACAAATCACAGAGTCCATAGCTACGGAATTGGCCTTGTATTCAATACAGCATGAAGCTATGCCTGGACTCATGTTCAATTATCGTCAACCTATGTGTTGTCGCCGAGGACATCACAAGTTATGTCACAAGTAAATCACAAGTCCATTCACAAAACCGGTCTCTATAGCTCGGTCACAAACACAAACGATGTACAATAACGAAGGAATTATTACATCTTGAATAGTTATTGAATTGACTTATCGTTGAATAACTCGGAATGGACGTGTGGGGACTTGTGGGACTCGGGAGGACTTGTGAGGACTTGTGAGGATTGGAGAGGATTTGTTAGGACTTGTGTGGACTTGTGGGGACTTGTGATGGACTGTATCGCGTGTCATTCCCTTTAATCTGCCGATGCCTTTGCCTTTTTGTTAACCACTATCGGTTTACTACATCTCATGTATACCTTAAAGTTTGAAACTGGATCAAGGTAAGAACACACGGGCCTTGCAAACAAAACGATAACCGAAGAATGCCTGGTATATACTAATCATGAAAAATAAATGCAAACATAACCGAAGATATTAGAACAATTTATACTCCTCCAAAGTTGTTCTAAAAAAAAAACCAAAAAAAAAAACCAATTAGGCATTTTGCCTGGTATATACTAATCATGAAAAATAAATGCAAACATACATACTTGTTTTTACTATCACGCCAACGTGTTTTGTACAGGCAAGCTTTCGCGAATCGATGAACACTTTTCATCTTCGACGACAGTGGCGGCACGGAGGCTCTTTTTTTTTAAAAATCGTCAGGCACAAGACGGTTGTGTTCATACCATCAAATTACGTCCATTACCGGCGATTTGCATGTCAGTTAAACTTTAAGTTATTAGTGGCCTGGATATTCAATTGTTAGTTTTCATATTTTCAAAAAATACCTGAACATTTCGTGTGCTCATGTTGACAAGGTTGTCGCGATCGACATTCTTTGTTTAACCTTAATATTGGAAAGGAGAACCATACAATCCCCCCAACTCAGTATAAAAATATGGTTTGATTTAATCTCCTATTTCACCGGGGTTTAAACCCTTGCGTTCATTTCAAAGGACCAAACTTGATTCTTATTTGTTGCAAGCCTTCTTACAGTTATTGGTATTCACTTTTCCCCCTTCAAATTACACATACCAAGGCCAATGTAAACATTGAAATAATCAATTTGTTATGGTGGCGAAAGCATTGATTAAAAAAAAGTGGAAATTAGGGGCAAGACAATACACAGGGAAAATTAATCTTTTTGATTGAAAAAAGTTTAATTGGATTTTATTTTACTTCCGTCACCATAACAACGACATTGACAAATTGAGGAACTGCCAACATAGCGCTGGATAGCTCAGTTGGTAGAGCACCGTTCCGGCAATCAAAAGGTCACAGCTTCAAACCCCATTCCAATAGGTCTCGTTCAAATGACGTCATTTCCTACAGACCATCCACATGCATCGGCATTGTGTGCGACAACTTGCATAATGGGCATCAGCTGCCATGGGCGTCGCGAGGGGGGGGGGCAAGGGAAAGGCAAAAAAAACAAAAAACAAAAAAACAAAAACAAAACAAAAGGAAGAAAAGAAAAGAAAAGAAAAAGAGGCGCGAAGACAAAGTGGTGAAAATTTAATGAGTTGGGGGGGGGTCAAAATGTCCCTGCCCCCCTCTAAAACTGATAAATCGAGAATGTGTTGAGAAATACAAGCATTTTTTGGCAACAAAAAATGTTGCCCTCTCTAGAAAAAAATCCTGGCGACGCCCATGTCAGCTGCGTCGTATTTCGAACACATTTCGAGCAACAAGCGCGCGTGTTTGAAACATTTTCAACACTGTGCAATGCTTGCTCGATTGCGTAAAATACGCAGTTGCACTTTTCCTACAGAAATGGCCGTCAGTGAACGAGCCCTATAAGGAAGAAACAGACGGTCGTCTTACCCAAGCAGTCGATCCTGGCGCCTTCCCAGCTGCCCCCTATGCAGGTCAGCGTGTAACGCACTGATGTGCCCGGACAGCCGAAGACGACCTGCAGATTGCCATCCACGTAGCTCGTGCTGATGACGTCGGCTCCACCCACTTCGTCAGTGTTGCAGTTTGTTTCTGAGAGTGGAGTAAACCCCGAATTGATGAAAAAAACATTTTGAATGGAAGATTTTTGGCAGGGATGATGTGAAATATAGCTTTCGAAGAGTGATTTCTCTGAGATTTCTTTTTTTTGAGAGGAGAAATGCGCTTGTGGTTGGTAAAAGAAAGTTGGTTAATACTGATTTGCCACAATTGTTTTTGTCATAATAGGCTTAACAAAAAAACCCAGCGCCTCTTTCGAAACATAATTCAGGGAGTTCATATTTATCCCAATGTCGGGAAAGTAGTTGCCCAAAAGAGAGTGCACGGCGACTGGTAAGGGCATAAAATCTCATGCACTTCGTATATCCTGAACATTATTGATTCGAAGTGAATACATAGGAAGCATAATAATAATAATTTAGTAATTGTGCCTCCGTAGCGCTTTCCATCCATGGTATCAACGATCTCAAAGCGCTTTACAATTATTCCCCCGTTCATCGGGCCATGGGACCACGCAGCAGCCGATATCAGCGCTCAATCGGTCCTCGACTCTCACAGGTACCCATTTATACTCCTGGATGGAGAGAGTCAATTGTAGTAAAGTGTCTTGCTCAAGGGCACAAAGGCACAAACACATTGTTCCTGGTAAGGTTCGAACCCATGCACCATCGTACATTAGTCAAAACCGTAACCACTGGACCATAACAAATAGATTTCGGGTGCTGGGCCTGAGAAAATTCCGTGCATGGACGTGGCATGTAATAAAAATAATCTAGATATTTCTGGTTTTTACCTGAGCACTCGGGCATGGTTGCGTCCGACCAGGTAGGACCGCTCTCGCTTGTCTCGCAGGTACGGGTTGAAGGTCCAATCAGGATGGATTTAGTGTCGACACAGGAGAAAGTGATGGAGGTTCCCACGGCGTATTTCTCGCTCGGATTTGAGTACTCGACCTTCCCCTTCGCAGGACTCGGTATGTACGCACAGGTCTCGACTAAACAACAAAATACAGGAATGCAAAAACTAAAACGGGGAACAAGATAAAATCCTCGGTTTTTCCTGAGAAAAAATTTGAATACGTGAGACCAAAACTTTGGCCAATATGGGTGAAGTCCTTGCGCGTTAAAGAAGTGCCCAAATCCGCACATCAGAAAACCGTTTTTTTTCACCTAGCACGACATGGAAAAAATCCCCATCCCAAAATCTTGAGACTTTCGTCCACACATGTACATACGAAACATGGAAAATCTTGGGTCCTATAGGTGTTCTCATACATTAAATTAAACACCTGTTTCACATTTCCCAGATAGTTTGCTGCTCCGAACTGGAAGGAGTCACGTCATACTTACAGGAACCAAGTACATCAGTAAACTGTTCAACCTCTACTTATCATGGCTCCGCTTGAGCAGTTTTCTTGTGCGCGGTGAAACCGAAAACCTTCTCTAATTTCTTTAGTTGTGCGTCAAGAAAACTGGAGTGGTTCATTTCATTTTCTCTAGCTTAAATTTTGACGGCAAGCTTTTGGAAAACAAACGCGGTGGTTGCGAAGCCTCTCATTGCGTAGGACCTATGACCTCAATTTGCAAGGCAGGCCGATTCGGGCTGGATAATTGTTATCCCTAAGGCGATATTGTGTCAAAGGGAGTCACTGGCCAGTTGACGAAGACCAAAATGCGATTTGTTTTGGTGTACTTTTGTCTAATGAACGAAAGGTTTGCGGAAACACCATGTGCGAATAATTTCTCAACTAACAGTATGGCTCTGAAAAAGAACCAGAGGTATAAACTCGCCGTTCTGGTTAATATGCTCTGACCGTCTTCAGGAGAGTGCCTAAACTCTAAGAAAGTAAACACTTAAGTAGCAAAAGCAAAATCGATGAAGAATGAAGTTGCATCCATTAGTATCTCTACCTTGCAAAGCCTCAAGTCTTACGTACTGTTGTCTGTTGCATCAAAAACTTGCAGTTTATAAGTTGGTGCGGAATTGACCAAGATATGTGCAGTACCTTAAGTCAATGCAGTACCATAGGCTGACTAAAATATTATTTTAGTCCGCACTAGGCCTACATCCCAAGTTTTGGACGCGCGATTGATGCAAACTAAGGTGAGAGGGAAGCGTACCACCCGAACGACATTGGAACGAGGTTGCTCAATCCACCTACTTTTTGCCAGGACTTGGTCACGCCGTTCCTCATACTCCAGATTTTCCGTGTAGCAGTTCTGCCCGGCCACCACGGTCTGGGTGACAGACATATCGTAGATGCACTCCTCCAGACCCTTACACGTGGTCTCGAGCAGTGGTGCTATCGCTGGGTCCAGGGTGCTAGAGTCGGGTGTCACGAGGACGGGCACAAATGTTGTGTTCTGGTAGTTCTTGTGCTTCGTTTTCCCGTCATAGTGGAAAGAGGGTTCACTTGCGCTCGTGGTGACCCCTAAAAGAATGAAAAAAAACCAAGAAAAATAATTAGCTTTTTTTTTTTTTTTTTTTTTTAGATATGGCGGCCACAACAAGAGGGCCCATTTCGGATTTGGTAAATTTTGGCAATTACAAAGGACTTTCCACTCCAAATTAGCACGCTCCTTTAAGTTAACTGTAAAAGAATTGGGTAAATGGATTGCATTTTTCCCCAAGTTGGTCAACATAATTATGCACTAAACTGCGTACACTCTGCGGGAAACGTCCACATGTTACCCAAATTGACTAACAATTGATGTAACTTCTAAGTCGGGCAAATAACACTGCTTAATAGCAGTTTACCCAACTTTGTTTACAGTGTATTTGTATCCACCAAAGCTCCAAAAAAAATAGCGTCAGTCCTGGGGTGTTTGCTTAAACCTTCTGGGTTCGTAAACAAAAATTCTGCATTCATAGAAAACAAAATGCACATTATTTGTTTTTCCACTTTGTGAAATTTGTGTAATAAACATGTGCAGTGTAACTGTGGATGGAATCTCCTCTCGTGATCATTCGACGTCCTCGCACGTCTCTTGTTAGATTTTGAATGATCGGGGATTGTTAAAAAAAAAAGCCAGACAATTATGTAACTGAGGTCACCGATGTTTGCTGATTTTATGGCTTCCTCATAATCAGGTCAGAATCAAGCCGTGATTTCATATCAACGATTACATCATGCACTTATGTCATTCACGGTTATATAGGACTTGAAGTTTTGCATGGCGGATGAGATAAAATATAAAGTTCGTGGGTAACACCATGTGTGAAAAAAACTCTTCTTGTATTAAAGAAGTGTGGTTCTGAAAAGAACCGGTTGGTTGAGTGTATAGAAGTCGACGTTTCGGACAGAGCACACTTTCCGACACGTCGAGTTCTACACTCAATCAACCGATTCTTTTCAGAACCACACTTCTTACAAGAAGAGATTTCTGTCCACATGGTGTTACCCGCAAACTTTATAATTTATCACTCACTGTTGCTCATTCAATATTTCTTTTTTGAGACAGGCTAACAGTCATGTGTAACAAAGGTCATGCTTACATTCTTTCACGACATCGAATATTTGCTGTGGATCGTCCCCGGTATAGACGGCATTATTGACCTGTCTGATATCATTATCCGGATCATTGTCCATGTCACCCAGCAGACCAGTCACTATTGCAGAGGCGGGAAAGTCCTGGATATGAAACAAGCAAACAATCGTCTGAATCAAAACTCAGCTTTATCAAACTTCGCGATTAAAATGCCTATTCTTGTTGTTTAATTTATTGGTTGAAGGGGCACTAATTTCTGAAATTTTATGTTTTTGAATGTTCAAACATGTGGTTGAAAGGAACCCAACCTAATATGTCTTACCGTTCCCGAGAAAATACCACAAAACACCGGTCATTTATATCGGACACCATGGAGTACACATACCGGTTTTTGCTGTCGTTTTTAGTCAATGTACGATACAAGTTGTGTTTAATTACAAACAGCACCAATGCATAAATAAGGTTTTTTACGTCCGCAGTTTCTTACACGGATGGAACCACAAATAGCATGACCAATCGCAGATTGGACCCCGAAATTCGTTCTCGCACGAATAACACAAGAATAACACGAACACGCCAAGGTTTTTTAAGGATCGTTGTGTGGATCCTACTTTAAAATGTTCTTTCCGATCAACATCACTTCGTTCAAAGCGCGTTTTGTAGCCCAATTGGGCGTATTCCAGGACGCGCTGGCGGCAGTGTCCCTTAAGGAGCGTGGTTCACACCGAATATCGCAAAGGGCCTCACAATTATCACCTCTGTTTATCAGACTACGAGACCAGGGTCCAAACATTTGCTTAGCACAAAAATAGTCTTTCTTATAAAAAGCATGTTACTGGCCAATACTCCACGTGATGTACATTGCTCGTGAGTAGTATTCAGTTGTTGTTTGCTTAGCATGAAGATTACATGGAGTTTTGGCTGATAACCTGCTTTTATGAGCCAGACTTTTTTTTTTGCTTAGCAGCGCCGTAAAATAGGGCCCTGTGTCCAGCATGTAGCTGAGATCAGCGCAATCAGATCTTTACCATCGCAGATACCAATTTATACTTCTGATGGATCGGAAAGGGGCAATCGTAGTACATTATATTACCTTAGAACACTGCACAGTCAGCGTTCAAACCAATGTAAACCTTTCAAAGGGGTCGGACACTGTATCCATAAGACCACGGCACTCTTCTGGCGCTCCTTAAGGAGCGGCAAATTTTTACATTATTTACCACATATCAGGCCAACCAAGGCATTCTATGCAGATTGCTCCTGTCTGGGAAGAATTTCCCCTAAGGCCAAAAAAAAAAAAATATTCGGTCTCTGGTCAGACCAAAGTTCCGGAATTGACGCGGGGACGCGGCTTTTTTCTTTTTTTTTAACTTTTTTTTCTTCTTCAAGCTTGGATTGTACAGACAAGGTGGGGTACTATTTTGCTTTTTGGGTGTCCTCATGTACATTGGTGTCCTCCATAATTTGCCTTGGTGCTCTCGATCATTTGCCTTGGTGCAATTTCCCATTCCTTGGTGCTCTTTGGTAAAAAAAAAATTGAGGAAGTGCTGCAATAGAGGGCGCTGTTGGAGCTACCGCGGAACATTTTGGAACAAAAAAGATTGACGCGCATGATTAAAATCGACGCGCGCGCTGACCACAGACCGACTTATTTTTTTTTTGGCCTTATATGACATGTCTTATTAAATAAATACTTGGCTGACAGTATCACTTTTGCTCAGCGGTCAGCGTCTTTGATGCGACCGAGGATTTCATGCCGAAGCTTACCGTCTTGAGCGCAATGACCTCGGCCGATATGCCCTGAGTCCACGCGGCCACGTCGACGAGTATCTTGGATGTTTGAAAGGCAACCAGGATCCGGCTGAATTGCGAATTGACAAACACGGTGACCCCTGCGTATAACAACGAGAATTTTACAGTGTGTATCAACAAAAATGCAAACAAAATACAACGGAATGCCAGACTGAGAATGAGTAACTAAGTGAGGTAGGCCTTATGTAGGAATGGTTTGAAAGATACACCTTTCCACTTTAAAATGAGACGTCAAACGTCAAAATCTCATACTTTATGACAGAGTTATGAGTAATTTAAAAAGAGAGGTCAAATTGACCGTGGGACCAATTTTTCATTTTTAGAGACCCATCGCATATGGAGTTTCGTTTGCAATGAGTACAGTGTTGGTCTTGAGTTTTGCTTATGAATTCTTTGCGATTTTATTTGGACTTTAGGATGGAGTATTGGTTTAGGTTGTGGGTATTACAGAAAGTTGTGTTCAGGGCTTGGTTTCGTTTTAAGGTTCTGTTTTGATATGGATTTATATCCGTGTTTAGGGGTTAAGGACCAAATTACAATCCTCTCTGTATCTCACGGCCTCACTGACTGACTGTCGGTTGTGAATTGGACTTGCTTATGGCCTCACCTTGGCACTGAAATATTGATTCAGATGGCTACATAGACCACTTTTACCTTGTCTTTTAGTTTGTCTAGGCTTGTCTTGTTAGTTTGTGTTTGGCGATTTCATTGAGATTGAGGTTAAGAATTGGCTTCTTCATTTAACATCTGTTTCAGGTTCTCGAACAGATGTATGGAATTCGCTGGGCTTGAGTTTGGGTTCCAGACCTGGGAGATTATGCTTGATCTTACATGAACTTTGAGTTTGGACTGAAAATTTATCTGGGTTTAGATTTAGATGTTGATTCGGGCTTCGGTCATGTCTGGAGATCAGCTCATCAAAGCTAGATACCTTTTAGATACAGCGGGTCATATTCGATGTCAGTATTCAAGAACAGGTCGGGCTGTGTGAAGGCATTTCCCTGGTGGACGTAGAGGTTCAGTGATCGCAGATTACCCAGCTCGACGTGGACGATGTCACTTCCGGTCTCTTGCATCACGACGGCGTTCAGGAAGCTCGCAACTGTAGGGACGTAAAATCTTGAACTGAGGTCAAAGGTCACTGATGATATTGGCCATAGTTTCATTTTTGTGAGGATTTGAACTATTTTTTATTCTACAGCCATTTGCATGTGTAGATTTTGTACATAGTGTTTGTTACTGGATTGAAATTACCTTAAAAATGGCTGCTTAATTCAAAAAAAATATATCAAGTATGTTACCTCCCGGGTGAAAGTTGGAAAAAATCACTCGGGTGGGACTCGTACCCACGACCTCCTGCTTTCTAGTGCAGATGTCTTACCACTCGACCACCGAGCTAACAGGATCGGTTGGCTGGTTCGAATCTGATGTACATAGCAGCGGGTACCGCATAAACTATTATAAGATGGATTTTTTGCGTCGGGGTGATAAATCAAATTATAGGTTTTGCCCTTCACCGATGTTTAAACACTTTATACTCAGTGTGTTCCCTCCCGAGTGAAAGTTGGAAAAAATCACTCGGGTGGGACTCGAACCCACGACCTCCTGCTTTTTAGTGCAGATGTTTTACCACTCGACCACCGAGCTTACGGTTCGAATCTAATGTAGGTTTGAAAGAATTGATGTAGGAATCTGATGTAGGAATCTGATGTAGGTTTTGAAGGGCAAAACCTATAATTTGATTTATCACCCCGATGCAAAAATTCCATCTTGTAATACCAAAAAAATGTATACATCATTTTTGGAGAGCGCCCCCATACGACCAAATTATCGTGCATGTTATAAGAATCCATTTTAAAAAGTCACACTGAAAGCCCACGGAATTATCACGCCCTTAACATTTTGCTCATTACATATGAAAAGGTGTTTTTTTCCTTCAGTATATTTAATTCGGAAAAAAACCCAAGCTTTTGAAGATGTTAACAAAAGGCGAACTACTTTTTCCGACAAAACTACGTCAGTTGATGAAATTTCCTTCCAAAAACAGGGAAGTGTGCAGTAGTAGCCCATGCATTGATACGCTGTGGGAAGGACACTTGCACTTCATTCGCTGGCACTCGCACGCTGTTCAACGCTTTCGCATATATCAAATCCATGTTTACCAACCAGGGCGGTTGGTCTGGTTCCCCTTCCATTAATTATGGTTCTGACTGTGAAGGTGAGAACCTCTCCAGAGTGGTGATATAAGAGCCGATTAGGCTGCTTCGGAATTACTCGGGACGGCCGAAGGTATCACACATACACATGGAGAGTTTGTGTCTGCATTCAGGAGGGGCCTTTAAACAATAGAGTCCAATCGGGTCCCCATTCCTGAAGGTCCCCAGTTTGGCGATCGTGTTCAAAACATATGGGAGGTCTTTCTTAAAAAATGCAGTACACAGAAATAGGCCATCAGCTTGGGGGTTTGGTCAGTATCAAATTAGGCCATAAATGATCATAGTGCGCATGCGCAAGGTAAACCGCCCATAGAGTGGTAACAAGCGTTTTGATGGACATTTTGAAAAAGGGTGATAACACACAAAAAGCTGCCACCGCTGCAATGCTATCACATATTTTCCAACTCTGGAGCTGTATACCTTGCCCAAAATTGTTATGACGATTATTTCCCTCATTTGATACCGGTGGCCAATATTTTGGACCGACGCTGATGGCCTAAAAAGAGGGACAATTGTGGGTCCTCGATTGCAGGAAAATACAAACTTGCATGAGTAGCTTTAAACCATTTCCATAAGCGCATGTGAAACCGCAGCCACGTAATTCTACTGCAGTCACATTTGCCCGTCGTGTCAGTCTCTAAGTACCTAATCACGCCGCATCGCTCGCACAGACCCGGCCCTCGCCCTCGCCTTGCTTTTTTTGTCACCGTTTAGGGGGCGCATACCTGGGGCATCTTCCTTTAAATTGTCGGTGGCCACCGTGGTGCGGCCAAACAACTTGAATTCCGGGCCGCTGACCTCCATCATCCGGTACTCTCCAATGCCGTTGAAGGTGTAGCGCCTTTGATCAAAGGTGATAAAATGGGGATCGCCAAAGATAAAACCTGTGAGATATAAGAACAAAAAAATTAGAACGTGGTATGTTTAAGTTTGTGAGCGAATGAGGGCGCTATAACGAAACCATTTTCTGTGTACAAACCATAAAAATATCGCTTTTATTTAAGACATTCCATAACTCGGATATAGTCAGTCAAGAACTTGTAAGTTGTAAAGCTGTAATGTTTGAACGATGAAATCAAGAAATCTTATGTCAATATCATTTAGTATTTGTAAATACATGTTCTCCTAAATACCCCCAAATTCATCTTGACCTCAAGCTCAAGGTCTGCCAAACTTCACGCCTCTGCATTCTCATGTATGCCTGGAATCGTTGGTAGTGACCAAACACTTTGAGACTTACATCAATAGCTTTGATGCAAACTGCTATCGAATAATTTTGAAGATCAGCCTAGTAATGGTAACAATAGTATGGCGTCTTTACAACGCTCGAAAACATAGCCTTTCCAACTTACCCGACTGTCGCTCGCCGTAATCGGCGCAGCCCTTGGGCCGTCGGTTCTCCAGGTACAGCCGGCAAGCGTCGTCGTCGCCCCAACGGCAGCACACCTGGTACGGCATGACATCCACCGTCCAGTGGGAAAAGTACGGGGTGCGGCCCGGTAGGCCGTAAGGGGGAACTCCCAACATAGCCGCTTTGTCCGAGGAGCCGCCCGTTCGGTCGTCCAGAGAGAAGACTAGGTTACTGTTGTCAACGTCGTAACAACATTCGGCACCTGAACTGTTTCACACACAAAAACGATAATCTTATTCACATCATTAGTATTAAAATGATATGACAACTTTTGAGTGGAATTTCCGAACATTGTATACTCTTCATTATTATTTCAAAATTTTCCCCATGTCCTTTTTTTTTGCCCAGATTTCTTTTTATTTCGTATATTTCAATAAAAAAACAAAAATGTATTGAATAAAATCATGTGGTTATCGATACTCAAAGAAACTTGAGGTCATAACCGACCGTGGGTAGGGGGATGGATACAATTAAAGGTTCGTAGAATCACATGCTTTTGTGCATTGTTTTCGGTCGAAGTAACAAACTGGCTGAAAATCGTAACACGTTGGAGTTTAACCCTCTTTTGGTACTCTAAATATTGAGTCAATAGAGAAAAGGAATGCACAATATTTGTCAAACGTGTGCCCACGGACACCAACGAGGGATCGGGGGGGGGGGGACGGGGCGATGCCCCGCCCCCAATAAAAGAACCCAATTATTTATATTTGTTAAGTGACGTCGCAGTTAAGGCAGGCACTGCGTACACCATGTTTTCCTCAAGAAGATCTGGTCAAAGTGACCAGGAATGGCCTCAGATCGCACCACAGATCTAGAATCCACACGCCGTAATTTTTTGGACTCACTTTTTGGGGGACCCAAATTTGTTTTGGGCCTCCTCCAAATAAGAATTTCGTTCTGGATCCGCCCTTGACGGGTAGCCTATTAAGAAACACCTTCCAATGCTATAGTTTGTCTTCTAAACGAACCATTTCAGGCGGAATAATTTCACAGGGCATTTTTTGTTTCAGTCCTTTTTTTTCACTTTGAGCAAGCTTTTTGTTATTAACGTTTAATGGGAGCTAACTTTCTGGGTAACTGCAAGTGATCCTTACTGAGGGAAAATTATAGATACTTACGCTGAACCTACGCTCATGAAGCATGTCCTTCTGCTGTCCCCTTGCCTTGTACAGGACTGGTAGTCGGCGTTGATCGCACAGCCTCCCCGCTGCCGCATGAAGTGGCTGGTGTCGATCAGCGCCTGCTCCAACGTGCATGGACACGGCGGCACGTTGGCTAGATAGGACGGCAGATCGTCGTTGTCGTTGGACTTGTCCTCCTCAACGTCCCATCTTCGAGAGAAGCAATAGAAAAAGAAAAAAAAGTTGACATCAATGACCAGAGATTGTTTCTGACCGTTTCTCCGGGCAACACACGTGTAACCACGTCCAAACGCATGTCCCATGTATGTTTTCAAAATTGAGAAAGGCGTGCCTTTTTGGCAAGTTGTACATGCTTCATTGGTAAAAGAGAACTTGAGTACGCACACGTGCGACTGAATACCGCCGATTCATAGTAGGCGCCAATGCGAATCACTGATACGAATGTGAAGCGAAATTGACGTCACAATACATTGGTATTGGAAACTGACAACAAAGTTAAAACGTGGTTTACTTTTGCTAATTCGCAGCGCGAATACTCGCGTTCGCCTTCACCTCAGCCGTATGGTCTGAGGTTATAGTTCTCTACATACACAATACCGGTAGAATATTGAGTTCTTGAAAATAAAATAGTTTTCCACAAAGCTGAACTCATAGTCGTTACCAGTGTGTCTTTGTATTCGTCGTAGTCATCGTTTATCCCGCTCTTAGAGCTACCGTACCCTAACATATAGTATAGTCAAACATCCCAAAGACTATACCCAAATATATTTGTTACACTACTTTTGGGATGGTTGTGAAATAATAATAAACGTGGGGGTGGGGTTGGGTGGGGTAGGTGGGGTGGGATTAAGGGTCGGGTGGGTGGGGATGCGAGGGTGCTCGTGAATGTTCCCCCTTGGGTGGGAAGCACTTATACCTTTTACACTCGGCATCAGCCCACTGTGTCGGGTCGTCCTGATAATCCTGGTCAAGCAGGTATCCTAGCATATGGGCATCACTGTACAGTGCCACTGGGTATCTAAAACGCAGAGAAAAATACCGTTCTGTTAATGTACAAGAATCTGGGCACGTAAACACTATTGGAATCACCTGTCACTGTGAGGTTTATTGAGGTTCACTGTGAGGTTTATTGAGGTTCACTGTGAGGTTTATTGAGGTTCACTGTGAGGTATATTGGAGTTAATTATATCGCTCTCTTGTCAAATAAGTCAGTTTAATACTTAATCGCAGATCGGTGGTATATTTCCGCCAAACGAACAGCCCCTAGGCTTAGTCCGCCGTTCGTTAACTATATCCTTTTGCGTCTGGGTAGCCGCTCATCCTTGCGCGAGGTTAATATATTTTTGTGGGTAAAGGCCAGGTCCAATTCCATCCTGCGATCAGTTCAGCCTGTCATGTTACCTAGTTATTTCCGCCACAAAGGATGTATAGCTCATTTCGCCACAATACTCTACAGACGGATAATGACAACGCCTTGACGAAGGCTAAGTCGTGAACAACTAAGTCCTTTTCAGAAAAAAAGGACCTATAGAAACTCACCCGTCCATTCGCTGCACACGGATTACTCCCCATGGGTTGTCCTGCGTGATGTTCTCCAGGGGTCCCGGGGTAAAGGAGAACCTCCCCGTGTTCGGGATGTTCGTCCCAAGATCGTAGACATCCTTCCAGGTCGGCTCCTGGTTGGCCACAGCCTCGTCGTACTGCATGACCGAGATTCGCAGGTTTTCGGCACCTGGATTGGCTGTAGTTGGTAGCGTCGACGGCTTATTGAAGAGACTCTGGAGCCAGGTGATGGTCAGCGGTGAGCCAGCTGTTGTCCAGGAAGAGGATGTCGAGGAGGCGCGGTCGACGGTGACTGTACTGTCGTCCGGGTGTTCTGTGGGTAAGATACGGAACAGTGTGAAAGCAGGGTCGATCCGAATTTTGAAGTCCTGAATCAACGGGGATCTGTTTGGTGTTGCAGCAGCACATTATCGGCCTTCCACCGTTGTAAACCAGTTTCGATTCCGGCCTGGGCCAATATGTGGATCGGATTTCAGTCCCTGCCTGATTCCGTGGGTTTTTCCTGGAATATCATCCTTGGTTTTCTTCCCGAACTGCAATTTCCTTCCACATATTCTACCAAGGGACCCCATTGGAAAAAGTTCGAAAGACTGTGTGGCTGTTCATAAAGTACGTAGACACGAAATCCCGACGTCACAGTTTTAGACCTTCTCTCCCTGCATGCATGGCATACGCAGTGGTTGCGACCCCCCCCCCCCTCCACCTAAGCAATCCAAAAAGGATACATGTTCACTCTACGTTCCCGGTGTACATGTACTATACATCTACATGTACATTACAAAGCATAACGAATGCGTTACGCTTGTCGGCTAATTGAAGTGGTCTCGCGGTCTCTGAAGTTTCACCTCTACACGCGTTAGCTGGCAGTGGTATTTGAAAGATAAATCGTAATGGTATAAGGGTACTGTTTTATAAATATCAAAAAACTAAAAAACTCAAAAAAATCTAACCATTTCTTATCAACGTGGTGGAATCCAATATCAGTATACATGCTGCTAACTACAAAAAAGTCTGTGCTAAGCAGATCATTGGCCGTGGCTTACCGACTGTGTACTTGTGCGTATAGACGGCATCGTCGGGAACATCGGTATCGTCACCGATCCTATAAACCAAAATGGACACGTCCCCAGTTACGAAGAACGGGCTGGGGATGCAGACCAGCACAGTCCCGACGATCTGCTGCTCCGTCGCGACCTGAAGCACGGTGTCTCCTTGCTTGAAGACGCAGTTAGCCGTGGTGACGCCCAGGCCGCAGGTTGGGGCGAGGCTGATTCTGTTGCCGCCCATCATGGGGCCCGAGGTGGGCCACACTTGCGAAGCATAAAACCCTGGAAAATAAACAACAAGACGTTTTGACTGACAATTTACCATTACCATTAGATAAATTAGATTAGATCTCCAATCAGTTTCTTAACTTTGAAGCTTGCGCACAAAATCGTAAATCTGAGCCATTTTTTTTAAAGTCCAGATTGTTACTCTTCTGGAGGGTATTTTGACAGTAAAGTCTTCCTTTCACTGTGAGTCGAATTTCTTTATGAGGTTTGATATTTAGTTGGGTTTTAATTGACTATATCTGTGGCTGTATCTTACTCAACTTGCTTATCTTGAAATTTTTTCCACATAATGAGAGGATTAACTTTTAAATGGCATTGAATTTACTTATTCGGCACGTTGCATTCTCCAATATAAAGTTTCACTCTCTTCACGGTGTTAGATCCATCCTTTAAAAAGATAACATCTTTTTAGAAGGTTACTTTGTTCCATGCGGCAACTTCTTCCTCCGTAAGTTACTCTCATATGTCTGTACAAGAAAGTTGTTCCCAGGATACCACATTATGTACGACCATCTTAGAAGTTTCTGGCATAATTATTGTAGCCCATTTGCTTCCCATGTGAGGGTAAAGAGTCGGGTTGGTTTAATATTTAGAGTTAAGGTTAGGGATATGGATAGGGCAATAATTCACCTTGATTGACACTGCAGCCAGGACTGGTCATGATCTCCGTATCCACTCGGAACACGTAGGCACCGTTCTCATTGGCAGCTTCACAGTTGGTGTTATCCACTAGCTTCTGGAAGTCGTTGTTTGGGTACGGATATGAAAACCCTCCCCAGACATCACCAGCATTGAAACCCACCTAACGCAACAAGAAAGGAATACTACTGTAGAATCGCACATTCGTTTTGGGTTATTTGAGGTACAACACTCTCGTGGATGTCGCACGCGTGCTTTAAATTGAGGCTCGCGAGTGAGTGCGTGCCACCTGAGGGAGAGAGCGTGGTTCCACCTCAGAAATGACCTTCCACTTATGTCGCTGATTAGTATACAGGCTTCGCGAGAGAAGCGAACGTTGTACACACTCCTTGCATCTGTACCAATGCTAAAGCCATTAGGAGCGACTACAATGTGACAGACCAAGCGTTTCAGTTATTCGAAGACTCGGTAGTACAGTCGCGATGGGAACAAAGTACATTAAGCTCGCTTGTTTGACGCAAAATTTGGTTGGAGTCGACTGACTCACTCACATTGTTTTGGAGCAACACCGGAACACCATTGTGAATGGACGAACGTCCCTGCGTGTCCAACACACTTTCCTCTTGGTACTGACTCGATAAAACACACGCCCAACACAGCCCATGAAGAATTGAAACCGCTTCCGTCGTTTTCATGAGCGGAGGTGGTTGCTCACTTCAATCACAAAGTCTTGTGAAAGAAAACGAAGGCGTCGCAGGGTATTATCGCCGAAAAGTGTACGCATGCCTTTCGCGGGCTGCACATAGGTCGTGCGCCCAGGTCGGTCGTCGCATGCTGAACAAATTGCATTCAATGAGGGTTCAAAGAATGACATATCAACACCACCAGATAATAGGTTATAGGTATCACCCAATGAAGCTGCTTACGATTTCATTTGTTTTGTAACAAGTCGTGATTAAGTAGACAGTGGAACTCAAGGAAGCCAATTGGCACCCTTGCAATACACACCTTTGTATTTGATGCTAGGTGATAAACACACTTTCAACAGTTTTTATCTCCTTCAGGAACTGCAATCCACCTCGTGTGGTCTTATCGTGACCGTGAATGAAAGAAGGACACGTAAGACGTTATGCACACATTGAAGATATAGGTCTCTCTCAAAATGACGTTACTTCCTACAGATTGTCACGTGCAACGGCAATTTAGGCATCACATTATTTTTTCGTGACGCGCATCGGCTTTGCCGAAATTTGAGCAAGATCTTGCGAGCAACATGCACGCGTGTTTAGAACATTTCGCACACTGCGCGCACACGTACCTAATGGCGTTGAAGACGCAGTTGTATTAATGTTCCTACGAAACTAGCTGTCTATAAGAGGGGTCTATGGGCGCACGCTTGTAAAAAGGCCAAAAATCCGTCCGCCGAGCTCTTGAATAAAAGTTACACTCCCAAAATATTCTATACTAGAGAGTTCTGAGAGCCATAACATTGGGGAATTGAAGAAATATGGCAATGAAATTGAATTCGAATCCTGAACATTTTGGATGCACTTCGGCTCGAAAGTGGCACTATTCTGCCATGTTGTGGAGGGATCGTTTTCAAGATGACTACTTTGTCCACTTTGGAAAAATTATGGGTTGTCTTCTTTGGGTAAGAATTCCTCGAAAAGTTAAACGGTCAACCCACCAAAAATGAAAAGAAAATGACAGATGACACATTGATCGTCATTTTTCCGGGGCAGCTTAAATATCTGTGAGAGTTTTGAGTATTTTAAAAATAATTTTGAAGTATGGGCATTAAGCACTGGTGTCTATGGGAATTTTAATACAGGGGTGCACCCCTATGTTCTCCTCCAATTACAGTAATCGTTTCTAGCACATTGACCACTCAGGGCATACTCTGCAAGGAGTCCGGAGCAATCAGCACACTGGGAAAGGATCACTCCTTGTATTACATTACTTGTCTTGAAAATTACTGATCTTACTTGAGTTCCGCCAGTCACCGTAGAACTGAGGTAGTTCAGCTCACTGTAGTAGAATATGACAAAGGAACGCAGCGAGTCGTAGACGAGTATAGCCTGAAAGCTATTTGGCTGTGGACAGAGAACGACAAGGGAAAATAAATTCATTAATGTCGCCTTGCCATCTACAACGTCACCACAGAAACTACCACCGACTCGGGTACCGTATACGTTCCCTGCACCTACATAATATCACACACCGTCAGCAACACGACAAAGTAACACTCATGTACATACCAGTAAAAACTAGCAATCGGAGAAAACGGCACCTAAAGTTGAACGCCTTCTAAAACAACACTTTGCGTCAAAACGACAGAGTATTTTCAGTTGGGTTTCTCGTTGTGGACACTTGATGAATTGAACTTATTAAATCTGCTGTTTATCACCACAAGAAATAAGAGAAAAAAGGTGAGTGTTAGTTCGTGAAACCGAAAAAGCAGCGAAACTGTAAATTTTCGTATTCACGAAGTTACACTCTTAGTTTCGCGCTCATACAACTTATTACAAGGAGAGTGTTACTTCTTGAAAACAATTTTGCTTACATTTGAGCAAAGTGCGCGCCATGCATTGCAATGGTAAATGGAACCTGAGTGTTACTTCGTGAAAACGAAAATTGTCACTTCGTGCAACTAATGGTAGGTCTTGATGAATAATGTTTAAAAATGTAAAAAACTTAAAATAAAAAAAATAAAAAAATGGTTTAACACGTGCTGTGTTACTTCGTGGTGTCGGTGACGTCATGTTTACGTTACATACGTTGTGTGGACATTCCCTTGTTTTCGTGTACTTAACAGAAACCTATGATATACTATAATATGTAGTAAGCATACCAACGAACAATATTATTGCATTACTATGGTAGCAGACCAGTAAATAAACTTCCATAGACCCCAATGGTAAATTCTCCCACTTCAAAAAGGCGGGAAAAATACTCACGACTCTCCAAGGTGTTCGAGACACACATCAAATTAAAGCTTATTTCATCATCTTTCATTTTCTTTTCAATTTTCGGGGGGGTCAACTGATGACTTTTAGGAGACATTTCCATCTGAAGATGAACACCCCTGAAAATAGTCCTGAAGCCCATCGCCATTTTGAAAAACGATGCCTACACTCCATTGCAAAGTAGAGCGCTTTTAGGGTCCAAATTACATCAAAATTACACAGAACTGCAAGCTCACAGTCCTGTGCACGGTTTCCACCCATATTTTTTACAAACCCTCAAGTTCATGGCCCACAGCAAGCTCAAATACCGAAGATTTTGAGGGCATGCAAATCGTGATTTGGCCGGCGCAGGCAATTTCGGACCGATTTACTGGTCTGCACCCCTATGCGGTTTTGAACAGCGCCCCCATCGACAGATGGTACTAACCCCTTACCTCCCAATAAAAATGACCTTGCTACGCCACTGCTTAAGGGATAAACACAATAGAAGTCCCCCTTCCTTAACAAGTGTATGATAACTGCCATGATACATCCAAGGCTGTATACCTGCACATTGCCATCCGGCACGTCTGAGACCTTATCCCATGTGAACACTGCACCAGCTGTCGCAGTGAAGCCCTCCTGGTTGATGTAGCATGACTTGACCATGGTTTCAGCGTTCTGCACTGCCTGGCTGTTCCTGGTCAAGCCGACTCGGTAGTAGACGGTCCCTGCGCTGGATGAGTCTGCCGTGTTGACCTCGCTCCACAGGGGCGCTATCACCACTGCCTTCTCCCTGTCCAAGTTGGCGTCTCCTGAGAAGTCCTGCAGATCAGCATGATACATATAGTAGTGATCGAGAACCGCGTTTTCACTGTTCCTTTGAGGCTTTCACCGCATACTGAAACTTCCTGTAAACGTTTGCTTTTAACCAAGCGTGCACGCAAGATTTTCAAGCGCACTGGTAAGTTTGTGTACTTTTTTGTGGTAAACATAGACTAAATTAAAGAGAAGTTTTGATGGATAAAATGTTACAAATAGGGTAATAACTCATAGTCTTCTCAAAGGTCACCGAACATCTGAAAAAAAGTTGTTTATGGCACGCGAGGTTGACTCATGCTTTTATCACAAAGTATTCTTCGAAATATTGGGCTTTGTCGCGCAACTATTCTTGAAACATGACTGTTCAAACTTATCAGACGCGACTGTGCGCACATGTATCTTGTCAAAACGAGCTTAAAAAATATCTCGTCAAAACGAACTTGAAAAGATATATGTCGTAAAAACCAACTTGGAAAAATATATCCCGAAATTCTTTTAGAGACAAAAATGTACTTCACTTTTATCAAATGTATACTTCTTGGCACTTGTGGGCTTTCGTACTACTACTACCGCGTCAAGAAAGTAAAAGTAGCAAGCCAAGATTAACTCCGGCTCCCAACTTAACTGAACAACACTGAGCAGTGACCGCAGACCAGTTTGCTGCTAGTACCACCTTAAAACGTTCACGGCAGAGGATTCACTATTCGAGTGACAGGGATGTCATGAAATTGTGTCAAACGTGATAATGAAGCATAATAAGTATCACGTATAACAAATATAACGTCTTGTCATTGAAGTATTTTAATTGGCACTGATTTGACTCACCACATCTCCCATGGGGAGCGCAACGGGGCCAGGCAATGAGGCGGGTAGCGGTGCTCCTAGTGTTAGGATACCATCATCGTTTACCTATGATAAAGAAAAAATAGGGGGGAAATGTGTAAAACTTGCATACGCGTGTGTGGTTTTACTTGGGCATCCGTGCAAAAGTATCACCTCAACAGTGGAAAAAAGAACAATTGGAAAGCCTGACAGAGGATTGATCTGATTCTAGGCGGGGAGAAGCAATGAGCAAAAGCGTACTTCATTCTGTAGCTTAGTTAACGGAACAAATGTATGTATTGATCATAATTTTTTCCTACACATAATGAACTTCCCCACTTGACAAGCTTGCTTTTCGGAGAAGCCCATCACTTTATCTAAATTATTGTCTGAACTTTCTTTTTTCAAAATGATTAAGTGGAAATTAAATATGAAAGAATGAATGAGTTACAATCAAGTCTCTTTCCCGGGGACTCAACCTGATACTTTGTTACATAACTCTACTCTGTATACTTACGAAAATGCTGTCATATTTCCTATTGTAAAATGGAAAAGGTTCAGTCAGTGGGACCTCCAAACTGACTTCGTCAGTTGCCTCCAGTGCCGAAGACGATAAATCGGTAACGGGGTCGAAACCTGACATATCTGGAAAATGATAATAATTGTCGAAGGGTTATTTTATGTTATTTTGTTGGGTCATTGTTTTGTTTATTTATGGAAAAAAATTATTGCACAATTTTTCTGGCATTTTCTACCTCTTGTGACTCGGGCTCGAATTGGATTGGATTTTTCAGCCCCTGTAAAGGCCTACATGGTTTTTGTCCCTCTCGAAATAATTTTCTTCAAATTAAATTTCCTTGTCACGTCTCAACAAATTCAGTGAAAGATTTAAGTTCAGCAAATTATTTTAATGTTACGTGTTCGTGGTACATTATTACAGCAGTTTCACAACAACTCATTTAATATGACGACAGAAATACATGTTGCATTAAAGAGCAACAGCGCACTCTATTCTTTGAAACAGCGCCCTCCATTAAAAGCAAATTTTCCCAAAAAATATCTGTTTTTGGCCGGTTCATTTTTTCGTTTGCACGCAGCTTTGGACCAAAACTAATAGTCGGTCTCTGGTCAGACCAAAGTTCCGGAATTGATGTGGCGATGCGGTTTTTTTTTTTTGGGGGGGGGCCTTTTTTTTTTTTTTTGAAGCTTGGATTGTACAGACAAGGTGGGTACTAGTTTGCTTTTGTTGTGTCCTCATATACATTGGGGACCTCCATAATTTGCCTCGGTGATCTCCATCATTTGCCTTGGTGCAATTTCCCCATTCCTTGGTACAAAAATTTGAGGAGGTGCGGCAATAGAGGGCGCTGCTGTATCTACCGCGGATAATTTGAAGGAATAAAAAAGGTTGACGCGCATGATTAAAATCGACGCGCGCGCTGACCAGAGACCGACTTATTTATTTTTTAGGCCTTATCCTTACAACCTACATATTGACTGTTAAATGCTGTATTGTTTTTATGTGTTCCTTATCTGAGCTATACTTCCCCAAGAAATGGAGGAAAGAATGTTATGTAGTCCAGTAGGTCTCTTTACGTACAAATGTTTCGAGCCCAGCTGAACACTTGGGGCAATTCAAAGTGATCAATGTTTTTTTAAATTTCATTTTATTTTCAAAATTGTTTTGACCCATCCACCAGCCCAAAATGTTCGATCTTAAGAAATGAGTTGCTATTCAATGCATTCCAAAACTGTTCGCGTTTCACCATGCAGTTGGTAAGATGTTGCAAATGACTGGTTACAATCGTTTCCAACAATTTACATCATATCGCCTAGCTTGATATCAATGGTTGCAGACCAGTATTAAATCGGTCCGAAATTGCCTGCGCCGGCCAAATCACGATTTGCATGCCCTCGAAATCTTCAGTATTTGAGAATGCTGCGGGCCATGAACGTGAGGGTTTGTAAAAAAATATGGGTGGAAGCCGTGCACAGGACTTTGAGCTTGTAGTTCCGTTCAATTTGGATGAAATTGGGGACCTTAAAGCGCTCTATTTTGCAATGGAGTGTAGGCATCGTTTTTCAACATGGCGATGGGCGTTAGGACTATTTTCAGGGGTGATCATCTTCGAATGGAAATTTCTCTTAAAAGTCGTCAGTTAACCCCCCAAAAATTGAAAAGAAAATGAAAAATGATGAAATAAGCTTTAATTTGATGTGTGTCTCGAACACCTTGGAGAGTTGTGAGTATTTTTCCCGAATTTCTGAAGTGTGAACATTTACCATTGGGGTCTATGGAAGTTTATTTACTGGTCTGCAACCATATACAACCTCGTCTCCATGATGCTCTAAGTGTCGCAAACTCTACCCTGTCTCTATATATTTTGGGGAAGGGTTGGGGGAACGAATCGAAACGCATTCGCGCGATACTGGCGAGTCGATATAGTAAGTTTTTCAGGGTGTTTTGTTTGTTTGTTAATTGAAAAGTGAACTCCGATTATTAATTATTTATCTGGACCACGCGCCCATATTTTCAAAAAAATATATGGGAGTTTGAAAACAGTGATAATTTGAATCGGCCCCTGAGGGGCTTAAAGAAATACTTCAGTTTAAGATCACAAGAGAGCGTTCTTCGGTTATGCGTCGTATTCCCCAGTGCAGAATGTCAATAAATATTTAGTAATAAAAAAAATCCCAGTGGTATCGGAGGTTGCAAATTATACCAACTTACTAACCGTAAAGTATGTGTCTCAGTGCACAGAACAACACAAAATCACAGTCTTACTTAAACTTTAGACTACGAGTCCGTCATTTACAAGGTAATAACGTGAGGACATTACACTATACACCGGCAATCTGCGCACCAAAGTGACGCAGATAATAGTCTTCAGTGTCCGAGACAAACAGCTGATTTCCTGACGTTAAGGACACAAACTGAACAAATACTAAAAAACACACAACAAAAAAAAAACCCCGAATACACACATTCAGATGGATATCAATGTGTGAGGTGACCCATGAAATTGAGGACACAGTGCGTGGGTTGTGAGATAAGTTGTTTTTCTCCAACCAAGTATAGTCACTGAGCATACTGCGCATGTGTCAGTTGTCAACGGAATTGAAATTCATTTCACTGAAATCTTGGACTTAAAGGGAATATACAACATTTGCAAACATGAACAAATAAAACTACCAAGTATTTACGACATACCTTACTAGGATGTTGGTTAATGACAGACTAAAGCATCCTGTAAAATTATGGCACCTGGTGTGAAGTCATTTTCAAGAAAATGGTATTTTTGTATACATTTCCAACGGTGGTCGGCCGACCACCGTTGGAAAAACTTAACTTTTTTTAAAATACTGCTCCAAATTTACAATTTTTTTAGTCGAAATTGTGTTTGCTATTGGTTACATGTTCATGAACGGGTGCAGGCCAGCTAGACTGGTTGCCTTACCTTACAATTTTCCGTCATCTATAAATTGATCCATGTCATCTTTAGTGGGGTCAGGGAACCAGACTACTTGAACATTTTTGTTTTTCTTGGCTTTTCCAGCATTTTCGAACACAAAACTTCAAACATGTCAGTGTAACAATATTTGATCTGTTACACTTGAACCCCTCAAATAGTTCATTTTTGAAAAAAAACACCAGCAAAAGCCAATGATGTACATTCCCTTTAATTAAACAAGATTAAAGAAAGACATCCACGTGTTGGAGAAAAAAATAACTACTAGGCCATGGTGTCGAGTTGTTATTTACTCGAAATCTAAATCTCAAAATACATGATTATTCCAATCACGTGATATCTTTCAGACATGCATATTACGGTGACGATGATTGGTTGCACAAAAAAAGCTAAACTTCTGAGATACATTGCCGTCTCGACCCTAAGCATGCAGAAAGACTCACCGGGTTTTACCCGAAAATATCCGCGTTCCCTGGAATTCTATGCCGGCTATCTTTATTGCTTGTAGGCAGCCGAGAGTGTTGAGCAAAATATCGGCGAATGTAAATCATGTTTTAAAAAATGTCGTCGGCCCGGGGTAACTTTTCTTCTCTGTGCAAGAAAAGAGACTGGCTTTTGTCTTCGTGTGAAATATTTTACAGAAAAAAATATACTGTCTGAGCTCTGATTTGATTTTTCATCATGCTTGTTCTATTTTTACGGAAAGGAAATATTTTGGGTTTCTTCTTTGCACAAACAGATACGCTCTGCAACCAGTATATACTGTGAGAACTTAATTATTGTGGGCAGGGCCGCAAATAAGTGGATATTTCTAATGTTCTTACTTCACAACTTAACGTAGGCAGACTTTTTTCAGTAGTTGTCTCATTCCCCGGTGAGTTACTTTTATATTGTACTAGAAAATAGCTATTTGAAAACAAAACATATTTTTCGGGGTGAAACTCGACGCTACAGTACTTTTTTTTTTTAATGAAACATGATAACAGAGCGACCCAATACCTTGACCTCCATAGTCAATGGAGGATTTTCGTTGGCCATTAAAAACCTACTATTATAGTGCGGCAGTTGACGATGTCGTTGATATAAAACAGTTTAGACTTTGTACCCAGATGCTAATGGAACTCTACCACGCAATACCATTGACACGCCTTTAAAATGTACTTTGTAACAAAAAACAGCAACATCATAACCCCAGCTTTGAGAAGGGTCTGAACAAAACAGGGGTAAAATTATCAAACCGTGCTAAGCTCACATTCCTTAAAATTCTTAGCACTATTTGTATTCTTTCTTGTTTCAAATGCCATGCAGAAAATGCGGTGATGAACACAGACATGTTCAAAACAAATATGGCGGATGGAATCGTTCAAAGGTCGAAGATAGCGTCGGGGAAAAACTGAAAATATGCTGCAGTATATAACAAGCTCACGAAACGACAGAATAACGCATAAGAAGAGCATTTATTTTGCTTCTGTCTTATTAAAGAAAAATATGAAATAGTGACAACTGATTTAAAAACATGGGCAGCAGGGTAAAACAAATAAACAACTCGCTACTGAATAATTGGGGTATACAATTCCTCTGGCTTACAATTTTTCAATGTGTATGTTTTGTTTTAACAAAAACTACTTAATTCCAATTTTGGGCATCTGCAACCCTTTGAAAACCGGCTTTCATTTTGCATACAATAATACATTCTGCCAGCCAATAAATCGAATTTTGTGAAGAAACAATTTCAATAACTAACCGCAGGTGGATTTTTTCTTTGCTCGATGTCTCATTCCAAAGTAAATTTACGTTTTTTATTACTAGGAAATATTTCAGTATTTCTTAATAATATATAGGTTTTCCCGGCTATTTTAAATCATTTTTCATTCAAATTCACCAACTGTAGCATTCAATTTCGTCCGAGAAAAATTTCACACGCTTTAAAAAAAGCCATCTTAGCCATTTACCATTCAATTTCAAAGTTTGGTCACCCTCTATAGTAATCTTTAGTCACAGGGACGAGAATAGTCGTCATTACAGATCAAATTCGTCTAAACTGTTGCCCAGTGGCAGCATTCAGAGATCGTCTTATATGAATCAATCAATTTTGTGAGAGCTCCTTTGGAAAGCAGTTTTCTTAAACTGAAATGACAAGGTTTGGGATAGACAAGACGAAATCGAATACTCTGGGACGAAAACGTGTGCTCATTGTTTGAATTTGCTTGAAGTGAATTTGAAATTGTCTGACAAAAGGCGAAATTAAACATTGGAAGTGCACTAAATCGATGCTGATGGACGAATTTGAATATTAGAACCGGTGAATTCGAATGATAAACATTTTAACATAGCCGGGAAAACCTATATAGGCCTAACTAGGCAATTGAAAAAAAAATCGGGTTTTTTTTTCGAGGTGAAACTCGAAAATAGCACTGGAACACATCTTTAAAAAGGAGGCGGGTGGAAAAAAAGGAAGCAGGTAGGGGCGAGAAACTAGTTTTTTTTTATTAGCCTTTAACATTCGTTTTGGATGCGTCACAAATCAAAACATACGTAGTTGTTTTTAATCGGAAAACTTTTCCCGAGCAATACTATTTCATTTTCATTGACAGGGGATTTTTTTTTTAACATATATGCCTATCCGACTCCAATTGGTATATAACGCTTCGCACTATTATAAATATTGAGGCGGATTTCAGTTCAGCAATATTTTCAGAGGCATTACAAATTTGTACATGTATATTTTCCGTGAATGTTGTTTGTAAACATTAAGATCATTCTGTCATTCACAAACACTAATTTTGAATATACGCTGAAACATATTGAGACGTGGCTGTAGTAAAACCTTTTTTTTATATAAATGTGTACGATATTGGAATCATGGAATGAGTTGAAGTCATCAACCCAAATAGATATCAAAAACACAATCCTTCAATTAAATATATATATTTCCTCATGTTGGAGGGCGATGCATATTGCAATTAGTAAGGCTGTCCCTCTTTTGCATGTATCCAAAGTCACTTGCAAGGTTTCATTTTTTAAATAATCTAAATACACGAGTTTAAAAATACAAAGATTGACAAACATTCAGTATATCTGCATATTTCAGAGTATCCGTTTAAATTTTGAGTTGCATACACTGCGCGGCACGTACATTTGTTCCTACGAAAACCGCCACACCCCTACAGACGGCAATGGTGGCGTCACAAATTGGGTCACGCATTCACAGAAACAGACAGCAAATGCCAGCGGTATCATGCAATGCTTCTTGAAATCTAGTCATCACTGGAAACGGCAAAAAGGTACCACAATCACTGAAATATGATGAATAATCGAATACACCCCCAAATTCAAACGTGGATTGCAACCGCCATTATATTTATTCATAATATTTTGGTTAAACAACACCCCACGATTAGTGAAGACAACAAGAGAGTGTACTCACATGCGGCGCCTTCCCTGGTCGCTATCAGCAACCACGCCAAAACAGCATAAATCCATCTGACAGACATCTTACAATAATCCATGAATTTTCGGTTTCCCTCTGAAATCAGCAACCGACCATCATCAGACAAAATCACTAAAAAAAAGACGCGCGTAAAATCACTATCCAAAAAATGTGCATTTCAAATCGGTCACATTTCAATATGGACGGTTGCGGAGAGTCCAAAGGTTCGCCACAGTTATTTTATCGAAGAAGTGCAAACATCGTAAAAGATATCAACGGCCTCACCTGTCCCGACGTAATGGGGTCACCCGACGTATGTGGCTGGCAAGGCGCACGAAGCAGGTGGGTGGTCCGTACCATTTTATAAAAAGGGAATGAGTGACAAAGGTCTCTGTTGCAACTTATTAACTAACTTTGCTGTATGGTCGTTGAATTATAACCCCGCGCACAAACGTGTCATTAGAAAAGAATTAGTTTCATTATGAATAATGCCACAGTCGGGCCCGCACATGTTTAGACTGTTACGCGTCACCTCTTTATATCTGAATTTTTGTTGAGCTACACAGAATGGGAGGGGTCAGCCAACAACTTCCGATGCCTCCCTTAAACTTCATCTGAGTAACGTAGAACCCAAGTTTTATCCCAATCTACCGATTAACTTCCCTTAAGTATAACAATTCGATTTCCCTTCGTCCGTTCCAAATTTACTTTATATCTAGAAATTATAAATAGTACAAGGAGTAAACACACCAAAGCATCCCATTGGGAACTGAAATCCATTTCCACTGGGAAATTTATTTACGACCGTGGTTGCTCTCTGTTACTGCGCATTATTTCAAATAACCTTTACAAAGTCCCCCCTCACCTTCGATTTCCCGGAAACGTTAAGGCGCTTGGGCCAAGTACCGACATTGCAATCAAAGTTAAGCTTGCTTTTCATAGCTGCAAATAGCCTTTTCAAAAAAAAAAAATGGGCAAAGACCCAAAACAACATAAATCAAAATAATGTAGTTTTGAGCTTTCTTTAATCCGAACAGGTGCACAGTTCGCATTATCCGAATACCAAGGGCAGTGACATACAGGGCGAGTAAAAAAAAAAAAAAAAAAAAAAAAGAGACCCAAATGTCGGGACCATTGCTTTAGTGAAATTTTGCATGTAGCACTTTTAAAATCTAGGATATGAAAGCCGAATTCATAAGCTTTCTTTTAGTACAAGTATAATTAAAACCACTTATGTACTTTTCAAGTTACGGAATTTTAAACACAAGCACCGTTTTAAGTTTCTGTCCATGGATCGCAAGAAGGTAAGTACTCTTTCAGCAAAAACGAAATCATTCAAATACGAATAATGTGTGTGAATTGTTTTCCTTTTGTGAACTTAGAAAGCACATAAGTGATTTGAATGATTCTTGTACTAAAAGAAAGCTTATGAATTCGGCTTTCATATCCTAGATTTTGAAAGTGCTACATGCAATACTTCACTAAACACTAGTACCGACATTTGGTTTACGATAATCTCTTGATTTACGATATCTCATCCGTGGGCGGAGCTAGCTTTTGGGACACGGGGGATATGAAGGCCGGGTGTAGAATGAAGGCACGTTCTGCTTGGGGATCATGCCGGGAGCATGCCCCGGAAACTTTTGAACCCAACGTTGCGTTCTCCTTCATTCTAAGGCACTTTCAATATAAATTTTTGGAACTTAAGCAATCCAATAAAAATTCGGTCCCAATTTACTAGTATCATAACATTAGTCACGGCTGCATTGTCATCAGTTTACGTCCTACAAGGAAAAACAAAGAACATGGTGATTTGGCTGTTCCTGGAATTAAGCATTGACCGTTCACAGACCCGAAACCATAACCACTATATCTCTGTACCACCAGTGTGAATAGAAACTTGGCTGGTTAATCATTCACAGGGACAACTGCACTCTATGGGATGTTTGCATAATTATATATGCATAGTGTGTACCAGGGTGCACTATCGCCTTCAGATGAATCGGTGGCCAGGAATTTGGCGTGCAATGCCCAGCCCGCCTATTTTTATTAATCATTAACTGAACTATTTTGAAGGCAGTGTCGTATTTTTCAGGGTGTGTGTAAAGGAGGAAGTTGTTTAAGGATATCTGTTTACCTTTGGCCAGTACGCACACATATCAAGATAAGCAGTGTGGACTCGGTGATTTTGTTGGTCGCGAAAATTCAGCTGCACTATTTGAGATCCACATAAACTGTAGATGGCGCTGTGCTGCTTATTATGTAAGCCAGTACGTGTATCATGCACCGTGTTATTCCGTGCAAAGGCGAAATAATCGCAAAAAGGGTCCAAATGCTATATTAAGAAATATTGGAAAGTGTTCATCAGACAAAATGAAAAACACTTTAAAAAAAGAAATGGTTCTCACTATATTCATTTATTCATTTCCTAAACTGCAACAATGTAGTGTATGGTATCATCACGTGGGAAAAAATATCGAACCATGCGCCCGATAAAGAATTGCAAATAAGCACCGATTTTTTTCAAAGTGAATCCTAAAACGGCGCTGAGAAAATAGTGTAGGCCTACTCAAAATTGCCTAAGTTAAAAAAATCCGACTATCTTCAGAACGCTAAAATAAATAATTACCAACACGTTTTCCAAAAAGTTATTCACCTCCCCTCAATACGTTTTCAGCGAATGCACCCTTGTTACGTACCACCTGCATATCAGAGGATAATACTTTTTTTTCACGTTATTCAACCTGAATTTCAGCGCTATTTTTGATTGATATCACACAGGCTATATTCTATAACTAGAGGTTTTCAGAGTAGGAAAGATAACTCAATTAAAGTTACAGTAACTGTAAAAGGTATAAAAATTTCCTACCAAATGGGCAAATACAATGTACTTACTTTGGTTTTTGTACGTATTACCTTTATACATTAAGAAGTAGTCTATATTTACATAACGAAAATAAGGTTGAAGTGAATTGCGATTTCGAGATATAGGCGTATATAAAAAAAACTTTGCAGTTGCATGAACATTTCCCCTTACAAATTTTTTTAACAACTAAACGAACCGGGATTATCTGCTTTTAGATACAATCTCTAGGCATCATGAATTCAGAGCAAAAGCGTTAGCTTCTACAAATGAACCAATTCTAAGACAGAAAAATCTTTGCTTTGTCAAACCTGGATTGCACATTACCGGTAGTCGGTTTTTTCTTCATTAGGATTTTAACTTTTCGGTTTGATTTTTTTCAATTGATGGGAGATAATGGAATGTCGGGTTCCGCGGTCGTCGCCTCCTCGTCCAAACCCCAATTTTGAGCCGGTACTTTCCCATTCGTCCTGCAAGAAGAATACGGGAAAACCAACTCATAAAACTGCCATTAGTATGCAAATAATAAGGGAATACAAATGTGCTTGGCCGGTCTTAATTACTGAAATCGATGGAAGGGGAGAAAGGGTCAGTAAATCAAAAATTGTGCAGCTTTCTCGTTGCTTACCGCAATGCACCACATGCTACCACTGGTCATTCTCCGGCGTTCCTTCTCATGGGACGAAACCTCCGATCCAGACTTGACATCATCAAACCAGATATCCGCCAACGAGTCGCTCGTAAACAACTGGAACAGTCAATCTATCACAAATCCGGGAAGACGACTCGGAACCTACACACAGGCCAATCTGTGCTCGCTCGCAACTACCGAGACAGTCAGAAGTGGATTCCAGGCATAATCCACTCCCAAACTGGCCCACTCGCATACGAAGTTCGAGTTGGCCCCGACTCCATCTGGCGCAGACACATCGACCAACTTCTTGATGTTGACACTGGAAAGCCTTTCTTCTTCAACCAGCAGCCAGATCCTGTACCCCCACTTGTCCCTGATACCAGTGACCAGATGACTCCCAATCGTCCAGTACCTACTTCACCAACACATACACCTACCGACATCCAGCCCAGCGCAGAGCAACCATCTGTTGTACCCGAGACAGCAACAGAACCACCTAGCACTGAGAGACGCTACCCCCAGAGGAAGCGGAAACCACCGGATAGACTGGATCTCTAAACCCTTTACACTGCCACACATAAGGTCCCAAAGGGCTTGGGTAGCCACTATACTTGTGTTCTATACTTGTGTTTAGTAGTTAGTGTTCAAGTTATTAGACTTGTAGTTTAGTGTTCAGAGCATGTGTTCATTAAAAGAAAGAGAAAAAAAGGAACAACCCAAACACTCACTTTTCATGAGTCCAAAAGACAACAGAAAAATGACACTTCACTAGTCAAATAATTCCAGATCAAAAAGAAATTTGCAGTTTATTACGAACAAAAAAACATTGGTAATTGTTTTGATATGCCAAAAGCTATTGCAAGTAATATCTCATGTGAACTTTGAATTGGACAATTTTGAACTGGAAATTGAACTCTAATTATAATGTAAACATTTCGTCACCGACACCACGAACTGACACCCTCTGCATCACAGGTACAAACAAAATTAAAAATCCAAATTTTCTTTTTTTTTGGCACATATTAGCAGTTTGTATCATGAAGTTTAACATGACGAGGTTATAATTGCTGAAATCATTTTAAATAAGCAAATTTTACTAATGAATTTTCAAGAAATTTGTCAATTCTGGTATTTTTGGTTACCACGAAGTGACCCTGCACAGGGTGTCAGTTCGTGAAACCAAAATGTACGTGTTTTCGGAGAGTGCGCGCATGCAATAGCGTTAGTGAGTGTCAGTTCGTGAAAACAAAAATTGACGCGTTTTGGGAGAGTGCGCGCACGCATGCGCAGTGTGTGTGCGCACTCTCCCAAAACGCATCAATTTTTGTTTTCACGAACTGACACTCACTAACGCTATTGCATGCGCGCACTCTCCGAAAACACGTAAATTTTGGTTTTCACGAACTGACACCCATCTTAATCATTTAATTGCTAATTAACTAAGCAGATTTTTACAATATAACGTTTATAATTGAGTAGTGAAAGCATTTTTACGTTATGTGATACTAAAACCTCCAAGATAGATGGAATATTTTACTGAGTAAATTCGTGTCAAACCTTTAAAAGCGTTTTTCTCCGATTTGTATTTCTGCAACGCTGACCACTGGGTGTCAGTTCGTGGTGTCGGTGACGATTTATGGACCTTATTGCAGTTCCATATTTAAGTGAGGTTACACAGTTACAATCCAGTTTCCAACATGGCTGAATAAACCAGGTGAGCTCGTTCCGAATTATATGTCAGAACCCACTCAATATCTCACACTACTAATTTGGGATGGGGGCCGACATAGGCCACCGCCTGCAGGTTCAAACAATTAGTAAATAAGGTTTAATCGGTCATTTTTTTGCGGCAATTGGATGAGAGCAGCTCAGTTAACCCAGAATTATATCATATAGCTTACAGTGCAAGACATACTATGCTGTCTTTTAGGAGAGATCCAAAAGGGAAGGGTACATAAACATTACCCTGCTTATTGGGCCAATATGTCATTCCGAATACCATTTCAGCTCCCTGGGGACTATGTATTTGTTTCACGCATGCGTATGAAGTTAAATGACGTCACTATCCTACAAAATATTTGAACCCGTATGTACACTTCATTAAAATAAACTTCAGATTTAAATTCTTGGGTAGGGGAATCCCCCTTTCTTTGTTCCATTTCCAATTAGGTAAGGGTATCATTGACATATAAGGTATTTACCCTCAATCTCTTGAGAAGCGATTGACGTCCATGCTGTCTAGGTCCTCTTCCATTACAACTACGCGGTGAAATGTATAGAATAGACAGAGCCGTAGCTCTGGAACTCGTTTCTGACACGGCCATTTTTGAGCAATGAACTGACTGAAGTGGGACTGGAACCTGCGACATTCGATCACCCGTCCGCCCCGGTGAGAGACGTAAGCCCGCCGCACACGTCGAGAGCTACGTGCTGAGCAAAACGTCATTCGAGGCTGTCTGCTCAGCACGTAGCACACAAAATAATTTTTTGCCGAGTTTTCTGCCTCGCAAGGCCGTTAGGCAAACGTCTATCCTGCTTATTTTTTTTTCGCCTCGTGAAACTAAAAACTCACCGTGTGCGGTCAATGTGAGCTACGTGCAGAGTAAAAAAAGACTTACTAGCCGATGAATTCACGTACTCTGCACGCTTGATTTTAAGATATTTTTGTGCAAAGGCGTTTGTCCCCATTTTTTTTTTAAAACAGGCGACTGACAAAGACGATTAATGTGCTTTCTTTGGCTGGTTAATCTTTTTAGCTCAGCACGTATCTCAGGTTGAGCACACAGTGAGTTTTTCTCCTCGCGTGGCAAAATATACCAAACAGGCGAGATATTTACATCACGGCCTCGCGAGGCAGATAACTCACCGCACAATGAGCTACGTGCTGAGCAAACGGCCTCGAATGACTTTTTGCTCGGCAACGTAGTTCTCATGTGCGGCGGGCTTAACTGAGCTTATTTGGCGGCTTATGAATTTAATGGTATTGGATACAAGTCACTGTAGACAGCCATCAGAGAGCCCACTTATTGGTAGCTTAGTGCTCGGAGCGCAAATACGGATTATTGGTGGTTCCAGATTCAAACCCCGCTAAATTCAGTAGGTTTGAGTATCCTAGTATGGAGTTAAAGTGATCCTAAAATTGTTAATGTACTTACTTTGCAATTTTTAAATAATCACCAACTAGAACAATACATGCTTAGGACAAACCTCGCTACTTGTTACTTTATTTATAATAATGATAATAAATAATTTCTGTATTTCGCATATCCACTTTGTGCAGCAAAATAATTTCAAGTCAAATCAAACTTTACAAAACGTTTAATATACAGTTCACCTAATTAGCCCTTTTTATATACCAAACGTATTTCTTTTATCATGAAAACTTCTAATTTGAAGCATTAGAAATGGATACTCGCTCTTACAAAGATGTTAAAGTTGGGAAGGGGGAGGCAATTTATGTTAAACCCGTTAACCATGGTCACTTATAGGACTTACAAAGTTTCAGTAGGGGGAGACTGGGGGAGACGATTCTTTCTTTTTTTTGGGGGGGGGGGGGGGGGGGGCGGGGGCGGGCACTGCTCAAGCCCCCCGTGGCTACGCAACTGCTTACCAAGGAAAAATGAAAACTTCCCTTATTTCAATACCGTCATTAAATATTTTCATCGTTTAGCTACGTGGACTTCAACTAACGTTATAGCAATGGGAAAGTATTTGCTAGAAATTTTACTTTAATTTGTAAGAGAAATAGAAAGATATTTAAAAAATAATCAGACTTTTCCATCCGTCCCCCTATGTTTCGTGGCGGCGCTATTCACTCCGACCCCTTTGTCTCGTGGTGGCGCTCTTGACTTCACTTGGTCGCATCGGAATTAACTCCAGTCTTGTCGGTTGACAGACTGGGTCCCCACGCAACCTCTGGGGCGAAAAAAAAACAAGCGACATTGAAGTTTAAATTAAACAAGATATGCCTGAGCTGTTGGGTACGATGTTTTAAAGCAACAAAAAAAAAGCAACCAAAACACGGAAAAAATGTCATTTTTGAGATACCCGTGCCTTCGCTTGTGAAAACGGCAACGGATTGACACCATCAAATGAAACTATTAGCTTAATAATTTGTCATTTCATGATATATAAAATTCAGATTTAAAGGAAAAAATGGTTGTCATCGTAACTTGCGCACACAGCACTCTCGACTGTCCCTGCACTTTCAAAAGGTCCACAATTGCATTTTAACTGAAATATTGCTAAGCATTACAGAAGCAATTATGCTAATAACGAACTAGTAGCTGCATGACGGTTTTGTTTGTGCTATATTGATTCTGTTCATGAACAGCAGATGACGCTTCATGATCATTGGAGGGCGCATCATTTTTTTAAGGGGGCACTAAAAGGCAAATAAAATCATTTCAACGGTGCAGTACGATCAGGTTCTGGTTCTGATCTCATAGTATGCAAACATCCTATAAAGGGTTATCAACACACAGGTGCAGTGCTGGCACCAAACAGCAAAATAGGGTTATAGCGCAGTTGAGAAGATCCGATACATGTGCAAGATTCGTAATCCAGATTTGAAGCCGGCGACAGTTGCTGTTTCCTTGATGACGGAATAATGTTTATAACAATCCTTTCTGGTTTGAAGTGGGATGAAGGAAGAATCTGGTGTTAATTTTGGATTCGGTATAACTTGTCTATGAATGTAGTCAGATTGTAGGTAGCTTCCTAAATTGCTCTGCGTTCTTCCACTTTGGACACTCCGGATTTTTGTTTAGCATGTCATAACACTGACGTCTCCATTTAAGTTGTTGGTTACATTTTAAATCTTGTTTTTTTTTATCAATTCAAGATATCAAATGGGGGCTACCCGGGGTACCTACATCCGCTGGAGGACGCACGATCCCCACACCTTTCCCACGTAGTTACACCACATGAGAGATCCCTGTGTGGCACATGGACGAAGCACGTAGGACTAAACGCCTCACGAAGGACGACACTGATGGGCTATAGGCCTATGCGTATACGATTGAGGGCGTGCTTGCGCATCACGCAGGTCATTACTGGCGTTTTCTTAAAAGGGTGTTAAATTTTACCTTTCTTCCCCGGTTTGCTCTGCTGGGAGTCTGTGCTGGTTTTGCTAGTCCGGCCGGCCGTGTTGGGGTGGACCTTGGACGAGTGGAGTTTGCGCAGTTTGTCACGTTTCAGCTTGAACGCCTTCCCGACCTGACAACATTATACCAGAGGAACTTGAAGGCTTTGGCCTTGATATATTGCACTGAACCATGTTGTGGAAGCTGTGTGTCAAGTATAACCTTTTCTTTGACTTATTCGGTAAAAGAAGGATTGCGTTAATATCTAGACTACTTGGTGGAATTTATCTCACCTCTTCGTTGAGAGCGCAATGGAGAACGAAGATAAACACGCCCTATGGTGAGGACAGACAGGAGGAAAACAGTATTAAGGCATAAGTATCATTCGATTTCAATGTATTATGAGGTCACAGAAATCAAGGTGCCACAGAAATAAAGGTTGGTGATATAGCCTGATTGGGATTGGATGTAGTTGGTGTGCATTACTATAACGCAGGGACCACAGCGATTAACATCATTAAAAAAGGTGTGTTTTAGCAAGTCCCTTCAGCTGCTTTCAAGAATCCGACAAAGCATTGTACTGAATTTATCACAAAAAAATGAGTAATTTGCATGAATGAGACTACATATTGAATTGGGGGAAAATATGCATGCCACCAATCGTTAGAAAAACCCTCTACTCAAAGATGGCGGCGGCCTGAGTTTTAACAGTGGACATACCTGTGAGGAGTTCAGTATGACAAAGATGTAAGACACCACTACGTCCGCTCCATCCACGTTAACGAACAGACCTATCAGCCACGTGATCCCAAGCAGGGGCGTCAGCAACAGAACTGCGCGTGCGCCGGCCCTTGGTAGTGCATCATGGGAAAAGAGCCACACCAATGACAATGACAATTTTAGTCAAACAATAGAAACCTCTTGATATGTAATCAAACGTTTCATCTTCAAACTGGACTCATTCAAAATTGGAATACCGAATTGGTTTTTTTTTAAAACACATTGGAAACATGTAATATCCTGTGGTGGGATATGAACAGAATATGGCTGAACTTGTCAGCAGTTTACATAATAATAAAACTGAACAAGCTCAAATAAAGTATGTCAGTCATGTTATTTCGGGGATTTATAGTGCTTTAATAGGTTTGTTTTACACAGTAAGTTTATTGATGACGTACTTGATTCTTTTCAACTTCGGCTTGTCCGCCATTGCCTCCAGTGACAGAAACACGCGGATAACATTGAGAAGAACACAGGAATTCAACTGCTCGAGAAAACACAAACGAAGTCACCTTTTCAATTAGATTGCGCCACCGAGGGAGGCAGAATTCAACGTCGCATTCTCTGACGTCATACGACTGACAGCAATAAACATGTGAGATCAGTATGGGCCCATGCCCGGTTGTGATATTTTTTCCGTACGCATGGGCGTATTTCGAAGTACGTTGATTTGCAAGTCAGGTTCTCGGACTTTATTTTCCCTTGAAAAAAAAAATCCTCCAAATCGCATATTGGTAAAAGAAAAATATTTCAAATGAATAACAACAAACACAATTACAAACACAATTACATTAAACACAATGTGATGCACTTTTGGGGACCAAAAATTAAAAAAATGCAATTTTCGAGGATTTGAACCCACAATGAACCAGCAGCAATTGAATGCCGACATAGCGTAGCAGCCCACATGATGCCACGCCATCCGCCGTGGAATCTAAGCTGTAGAAAGTTATTTCAGATCGCATGACATATTTATTCAATTACGTTATGTTTCACGCATGCGTATTATGGTAAATGACTTTGTCTGCAGTAAAACACTTTGATGCCCAGCTGAGTTGAAAGTGAGGCCAGTCCCCATGTTAATGTGTTTTTTGTGTGTGTAATTGCTTAGCAGCCTTCATTGGTACCAAATACATATGCCCTTGTCTTGCTGTGGAACCTCACTTCTGTCCCCTCAAAATGTTAATTCGTGCAAAAAGCCATCAATTAAAGAAGTTCGAGCACAGTCCTCAATAGATCCGTGCGACCAAGGCACCTACTATCCCTCAATAGGAATCTAGTACCAGGAACCAGGTACTAGGACAATAGTACCGCAAGTGCGACTCCTTGACTCCCAACTATGCAACTATAGTGACTGCAGCTAGAAGTTTAATTTCTTAAACCTATACTATAGATGACTTATTAAACACATTCCGTAGGAGAGATTTTCAACGGAATATTGTCAAATTTTGGAGCTTAGTATGGATGAGGTGTTATAAAGCAAAGACAACATGGCTTATTTCGGAAAGGTTTCTGCGAAATCACTGGTCCTGCGGTGTTGACATACTTCAACTTCGTCCTCTCTCTCTCTCTCTCTCTTCGCATCGGGAGATAGTTAAACAAACAAATCAGGAAAAGCACTTTCGCACCACTTTCCCTGAATCGGTTTTCTCCGGAGTCTCCGAGCCTTGGTTTGATGTCAACACCATTTGTGAGGCAAACTTACCAATATCACGATTATGACGGGAGCCACGAACGCCCAAATCAAGCCGTTCTCGTTTGACAACCAACAACTGTTAGGGTAAAGAAACAACGACACTAACAGATTCGAAACAAAGATTATTGTTTCCATCGTTCTGCTTGCTCAGTTTGCATGCGGTGTAAGAACGTCTGTCAGTCCGTGGTACGTTTTAGGTAGGAATTGTGTCGGTCTTTGGAATGGCTAGATTCGTGTTAGTTGGTCTGTTGGTTAGTCGTTACCAAGCTGTCTTAAGAGGACTGACTGGTCCACTATTAGACTTGTTAGATTAGAGGGGGAAGAAGGGGACACGCCCCCATAAAAAGATAATCGTCGCCCCCCTCCCACGGAAATTTGGCAACTGGAGAAAAGTACCGTCCTAAAAGTAAGTATGATTAGCGAGTTTAACATAAAGTGTCTTTTTTGGCCACGTTTTCTGTTTATTTCTTAAGGTAAAATGTGTTTTTCGTGAAAGGGGGCTATTTATTTTAACGTCCCGTGAGAAGCAATGTTGTCGGTTTTGAAAATTCCCCCATGGGAAGATGGTGTCGAGCCCCTTTTCCCCCACCTTCCCCTCACTTTCCTTTTTGCATTTTACAGAGGCCGGGTGTCCGGTGAAAAGACCTGTCTACCCTTCAGAACGGATGAAATTTAGCGCCCCTCCGCTGTAACATCCAGCCTCCCCCACTCCCCCCCCCCTCCTTAGGATGAGAACTCTGGCTACGCTGCTGAGTACCGTGGGTGTAAAAAGTAATGGTGAGGCGCAGATTTGCAATACATGTACTATTTAACGGACTCTGCGGTTAAGTCGTGTTTCTCGTCTCTTGTGCCTGTGTGCATGCCTACATTCCGTGGTGGCAGTCAAAGCAGATGCCTATCTCAATTTACCAAAGACTTACTAGGATTCAGACACGTAGGTGTTGAATAGCACTCCAAGAGAAAGTCCGACAATGGGCAACGGAGTCACTGGAATTACATAATGGAGAAAAGAGTTAACCGTTAACTGAATAGTTTTATTGGTTTTCTCAGCTGACAAACCACGAATATGTATCAATGTGTACTATTGCATTAGCATTTCGTAGAATTTAACTAACTTGTTTAACAGTTAGAAGAATATTTGTAAAATTGATTACTGCCATCTTACCCCATCCTAATGCAAATAGGAGCCCCACGTGGATGGTGGTTCGGAAAATGTTTGTTGATTTGAGGTACAGATTGGCGCCCTCTACCATCATCCAGGAAAAGGAAGCCAGCAGGGAATAGTGCAACAGCGCCGCAACGACTTTGCATACCGCCTGTGAATTAAACGAAAATGTTAAGACCTCAAGCAGATGGCGGCAATGGACGGAGAGAAGGATGTGTCGAACGGCATAACGCATGCGCAAAATAGAGCCACGTGAATGGACGGGATCTGTCAAAAATCAAACAAACAGTACATTTTGGGAAACAAGAAAAACGGGGAAAAATCGGCAATGTTGTATTTGTTTTTGCAGGCCAACAATAATTATCTACCTTAAAAAATACGTCATTTGGGAAAAAATCACATGGCCGCAGGATTTAAGTTGGTATCAACGTCCTATCACCATGTTGCGTTGACGGGATATATTGCATTTTGCCAGTCTTGAGATTAGCCCTACGTTTCAGCCCTCCGTGTGTAATGTATTAATCCATTAGCAGGACATGCATATAATACCCTGTGTGGGTCTGGTACCTTGCTACTTGTAGCATCGATCCCCACGAGAAAGATGATCTGTGAAATCAGGATACTGACTGCTAGATTGGCATGGATGACGAGCGTCTGACTTCGGTAGACTCTTTGAAGTAAAAAAAAACACAAAATGAATTACACCTGTTTATGATTCGTCTGATAGCCTGGCTCGTGTTTTGTATTTATTATTTTTATTTTTGTAATTTTTCATTTTTTTTGGGGGGGGGGAACATGCAGAAATAACCTGAGCTGCAGTACTTCGATTAAAAATTGGAATATGCATATGTGACAAACGTGGAAAATATTATAATGTTGCATGTATTTCGTAACAACAGAGGTAACAAGAGGAGTGAATTAAAATAATACATTTTGATACTATGCATAAAACGACCTGGGCCCAATTTCAATGCGCTGCTTATCAGTTAGCACAAAGGCTAACCTTAAGCACTATTTTCTCTTAGGTATAAGCATGTTTTTTGCTGTGCTAACTGCTTACAGTTTCCATGAAATAGACGGAGGCTCTATTAGCAGAACATCGTGTGCTTAGCAGCGCTATAAGCACATCAAGCTGAAATTAGGCCCTGATTGATCTCAAGATCAAAGACGTCACTTACTTTAACCAGATGTACACGATCAACGTGATGCTGAGGCACGTGACCGACGTAACTCCGCCCACAATGCTCAGGATTTTCAGGATATTGGTGTGAACATCGGGCAATGGCTAAAGAAATTAAATTTCAACGTTTCAAATTCCGTATATTTCCACATGGGGAATGTAATTCTAGTCAAGTCTGGTGGCATCTTCAATGGCTCGCTCAAACCTGAATCCGCGAAATACGCCATAGAAGGTATTATTTTACTGATTCGCAATAAAACCCAATTAAGAATCATCCTTAAAAACATGAGTACATTTGCAATAATGTTGCCTCGCTTTGGGGCAAGAGTGATTTCGAACAGAAAGCTGTAAGGAGTAATGTATGATTTTGTGATTTTTACCTCCACACCGGGCACGACCCGCACAAGTACGGCAAAATTGGTCAGGTGGTTACAGGAACAGATCACGTGACTCTCGTTACTGCCGACCAGGTGACATCCGTCATCGGACCACGAACCCATCGATACGCTATTGTTGTGACGATGAAGTGAGAGAAAACAATCATTGTAGTGAGAGGAATCGTTAATGACTTTCCCGCCCGTATTTGCAAAAGTGAGGCAAAACATCAGGTCTCCCAAAAACACGTAAAATGAAAACCCACAAAACAACCCTTAACTCCTTCAAGAAAGTTTAAGATTCTAACCAAATCTGCAAAGTTTATTTTGAACCAGTGTTTTCTTGAGTAGAATACTGGAACATCTTTCCTAGTAGCTATGTGAATAGTCTGAGGAAAATCGACCTACTACCACGACCTACTCGTGACCAGACGTCCAACTGCCATAGCGTGTCACGCCTAAACATTTCTCTAATAAACTTTAAACTAGTATTTAAACAAACATTGGATTCTATTTGTTTTTCTTAAATTGAGTCTTAATTTAACCCCTTAAGCACGGGTTATAATGGGGACATTCCTCCACACATAGAGCAAGTGGCCCGCATGACTGCACAGCCTTTGTGTGGTAGCGGGACTGCACAAAAACAGCAGCTGTGGAACTACCCACTAGCCGTGTGCCACGACATACCACAGCTGGCAACTGCATTCCAATGAGGATTAGCGGCCGCGGCCATGACCGCTTCCCGGGCCCATGGGGTTAATTATTTTCTCTGTCAACAAGAAATTGTCTCATCAAATAGAAAGAGTATCCAAAATTCAACTTTAATAAACTTACTTCGTGGATTTCCTCCAAAATGCACAAACAGGCCGCTGACCGTCATTAACAGGTGTCTGTGAGTGTAATTTGGAAAGACACAGAGGAGACAATTTAGGCGGACCCAGAACTACATTTTCTAGGGGGCCTTTGAAAAATCCTAAAACGCCCGGGGAGGGGGGGGGGTCTGGGGAGGTGAGCTCGGCCTCATTTTACGCCAGGGGCGCTCTTTTCCCATTTGCCTTTAAACGGTTAAAGCAAAGAAATACGCATGGGGAAACGTCCTATAAATCACAAAATCAAACTGAAGTAATTCGACTCCGAGTCACGTAATTAATCGTGATGCAGGCCCCATTCGATGAGATCTCTTGGAACCAATGCCGTCCCCCGAGAGCGCCATTGGAGAGATAGTTTGGTATGAGTGAACTACACTCACCTCCGTCCTTGCGATGATCATGGTTGCATTGATTCCCTCTTCGACCACTGTGTGGTTCTCTCCCTCCACGGCATTCAAGGTGACCACACAACTGGTCAGCTGAGACTCTGGTCCGTCCAGCTCATCAGCACCGAGGGGGAACATGATGGTGTCGTCCGGAACGCAGGCAATACCAACACCGATGTACCCTCCTAGATACACGACACAAATTCGGACATGGCGATGAATTTAAATGTCTCTGCGGCGTTTTTGTTTTCCCTATAGACGAATCCGAGAACGGGATCACCCTACACTCCCGAGGCCCCTTTCAATGGAGAAAGCATCTGCACAGAGCAACTGCTTCGTGACGGATTATCTGAACGATAGCTAACACAAGGTTTTCGCCGTTGAAGGGGGCCTTCTTGATAGAACTGATCGCGTGACTGGATTGGTCTATCGGCCATGTTCCCTGTGACGTCATGCCGATATGTAACCACTGGGCAGTCCAAACATTTTAAGCATCGTTTCCATGTTATTTGGCCCACATTAAACACTGTTATGGCAACACATTTAAACCATTCAGAATTTCAAGAGATATACATGCAGTGCAGAAGAGAAGTGATTGCTGAATGTTGGCATCACGTGACCACAACACCAATGTTTGCAAACACATGTCACATCGTCTAAAGCCCAAGTACATTCACACGTACAGACACGTTTGTTTATGGTGTAAATCGAGGATTTTCTTTTGTTACTCTTCCCTTTTCCTTTGTTTGTACTTATTAACTTTTTTTCGCAACAGCTCTCATTGGTTTTGTACACGTTTTCCAACCGAGGAGTCCTCGATTTGGTTCCTGTCCTCGATTCACCGATGATGTTGCACGTGTGTGTCCTCGATTTGTTAGATGCCAAAATGGGACATCTTATCCTCACGGTGAAGAGTAGAGTAATTTGTTTTCGCTGCATACGAAACACCGAGGGTTGAAAACACGTATGGGACTCATATTTTATCAGGATCTGTTAAGGTACTTCGAGTATTCGACAGCGTTTTCAAAGGAATCCTCGAAAAGAACTTTGCTTGCTTTTGTTTTGAAAATTTAAATATTGTTTTTATCTTTTGCGGGAAACTTATGGGGTCTTATTCTGGTCAATTTTCCGGGGACAGACAGACAGACAGACAAACGGACCGACCGACCACCAGGTGACATGTAGAAGCTCATACCGGAGCTTAAAAAGAAGAGATTATTGACGTTGACAAACCTTGTCCAGTTGCAGTACAGAGGGTGATGTCGTTTTCGGCGCCGGTTTCTACGCCTGTGATTACATAGCCACACTGGCCGCTGAACGAATGGGCTTCGAACGCTGGGAATACATAATAGAAGCCCATGAGAAAGGTTTTTTTTACACAGAAATATAATATAGGGTGAGTAAAAAAACACGAAAGCATTATGTCGGGACCGTTGTTTTAGTGCAGTTTTGCATGTAGCACTTTTCAAAATCTTTGATATGAGAGCCCAATTCATAAGCTTTCTTTCAGTATATGAATCATTCGAATCACTCATGTACCTTTCAAGTTACGGAATTTTAAAAGCAATTACAGTTTTAAAATTCTGTCCGCGGATCACAAAAAGGGAAGTGTTCTTGCAGCAAAACCAAAACAAATCACCGAGGGATTTGTGTGAATGGTTTTCGTTTTGCTGAAAGAACGCACGTTATTTTCTGTGATCCGTGGACAGAACTTTAAAACGGTGGTTGTGTTTAAAATTCCGTAACTTAAAAAGTACGTAAGTGATTTGAATGATTTTTGTACTAAAAGAAAGCTTATAAATTGGGCTTTTATATCCTAGATTTTGAAAGAGCTACATGCAGAGCTTCAATAAAACAATAGTCCCCACATTTGGGTTTCGGTTTTTTTTTACTCGCCCTGTACAAGTTCGGGAAAAGAAATTTACAAGCGTGGAATTTGACTGTTTCAAGAAAACAATCGTAAGGCTATCATGAAAGAAGTTCATCAGGCTGGTGAATTTTCAACTTTAAATGAATTATCTATTAAACACAGCCAATTGTAAGTAATTGGCTGTGTTTAATAGAGAATTCATTTACTAAATCGTAAGGCTTGAAAGCTGAGTTGGTAGAGTACTGGTGTGATGTTTGGAAGGTCACAGGTTCATATATACGGGTGCAGTCTATTTCTGTATTTGATCAACCTTATTATACCAAACCGGCAAATATCTAGGAATTTTCAAAATGCCTCGAAAGTTAGCATCTGATAGCTCTTAGTTTTAGTTTTTGAACAATTTTCATCAATTGGAAAAGGATATTTTGATAATATCATGATGCCCTAAATATGCATAAATCAGGTGTTTAAATTGAAACAGAAAGGAGAAGACGCACCTATATTTCTGGACATAATAGACACGGTGCTCCTGTTCTTGCTTAAACTGCTCAGGACCAGAGAGAATGTTTCATCCAGGAATTCGATGATTTCTGTCACCCGGTCAGTGTCCTCCTTGACAAAGATGACGTAAAATATTGAATATTCATAACTTAAACTACATGAAAACACTAGGCCTGTAGACCAGTCCGGGCATGCTAGTATTTTCATCACAAAGGCCCCCTCCAATGGTGAAAGCATTGCGCTAGCTTCTGTTCAGATCACTGATCTCTATATAAAGACTGGATAGCTAATACAGAGCCGCACAATGTACGAATTTGACGCCATATTGGTGAGACCGGCTGGTGATCTACAAAGGACAAGTTGCCGTTTTTATAGACAGCATGATTTCTTTTGTAACTTCGCGGTTCACTTGACTTATATTTTGACCACCATCACTGACCAAGGTTAACTACAATTTTTCTAACGTCGTGGTTACTAAAATGCCGCAAATATAACTTTTTCGGCGTTTTGAAATAATAATCACTACGGAAATGTGTCCCTTTTAGAACATCATAATATGTGTACGTGACCAAAACGAGCGTCAACTGTTGATACAACGCGCGCGTATTTACGCGTAGAACGTTCGTATTATGCGCGGCCATCTTCGTGAGACCGGGGGCGAATTGGTCAATATGCGAAGTCTACTGTGTGAATGTTGTATGCATATGCGCTATCCAGTCTTTATATAGGGATCAGTGGTTCAGATAATACGTCACGCGGCTGTAGCTTTGAACAATAACGGGCACAATGGTTTCTCCATTGAAGGGTGCCTCGTCAGTGTTTTGTAATCACATTAGAAATAAGACAACTATACGTCCACTGATGGAATACTGTTCCCACATGGGTCGGAGCTTCTCCTTAATTCAGTTGGTGGAGAGTTGGGCTCATCATTACAACCCCTTTCCCACCGTAGGTCAGTAGCCACCCTCAGTCTGTTCTACAGATATTTCCATGGATATTGTTCCGCTAGTTTGTTTGACTTGGTTACTCCTGTCAGGGTGTTTGAGCGTGCAACCAGGCTCTCTGCTTCCTCTCACCCATACACTCTAGCTGTGCCGAGATGTAGAACAAAGAGCTACTGTAATAGCTTTTTTCCACGTCCTGTATCTCATTGGAACTCCTTGCCCAGTGCGTGTCCCCCCCCCCCCCCATTTATGATCTAGCCTATGAACGATTACCTTATTGTAAATTTCTGCCACTAGCTTGCACAATGTAAGCGCCACTGTTAATACTGGTGTTTGACGTTTGTGATGAGATCAATGCAAAGAAATCACGTGAAATGTACATGTATATGCACCTCTAGTGTTCCAGTTGGGGACTGCATGTGCCCTTCAAGTAAGTCGGTGCTGATCTCGACAAGGGTCTGGGGAATAAAGAACATCGAACCGTGTAACTATTGTTTTTAAACTCACCCAACGCCAATAATAATCCAACCTTCAGCTTTTAGTGTAAGTGAATCCCATTTTAAATGTTCGCGAGATTTCATGCGAACGTCGGTGCGAAAGGAATTTGTAGGTAACGGAGAACGTCGTAATGAAATATCAATTGTTGACGCCATTGGCCCATTTGAGATATGGCACACATACAATAGCAGGGCGCTGTCCTATTTGGGTAAACTCTTTCGTATTTAACCAAGTTAAACAGCGCCCTTCCATTGAGTCCGCCATATCTCAAATAGATTAATGAAATTTGCTTCGCCTTCGCTTTCGCGTGAAGCATACACCGGCCTTATGAGCACTGACCTAGCTGCTAATAGCCTTCAATAAAGAGCGGCCAGATGCATTATGATATTGGCACCTGCGCATCCAAATCACCTTCCCTTCTTACATGTATAGGTTTAGGAAAAATGTCAAGCAAATTTGAAGAATACAAAGTCCGTAAACATCAAGTATCGTTGGTTTTGTTGAGCTGGTAAATGCACTTAAATGCGCGTGGCTACATAATTATTATGGTATAATAACATAGTCTATTAGATATATATTTTTAAAAAAATACGACAATTGTTCTTGATATCCAATTATCCTATTTTAGCACAAGCTAACATGACGCAGTAAGTGTCATTGAGTCAAGAACGTATGTGAACTTATGTTTAACAAGGGTGTACTTCAAGAACTGGTGATGTAGTTAATTTAAGGTTTTTTCTTAAGAGGATGACTTTGTTTGACTTAACGTATATTTACCTCGAGTTGTTCTTCGTCAGTTGGGTCTGCTTCTATCAGCTCCTTCAAGCAGGCAAGGGTAATGCACTGCGTGGGAGCTTCCTCTTGTGCAGATGAGTTTCCAATTTCCGTCTGAAAAGAAGGGAAATAATTATAAAGACAGTCTGTCTCGTTTTCATTGTAAGAGTTGACCGGCAATTTCTTTGTTGTCTAAACAGTTACTCCTTCGTATTTGAGGTATGGGCATTTCAATTGGTTAGTTTATTTTGGTGGTTGGTGTCGTGGTTTAAATATTTGATGCTGTGGAATGCCCCATGGTTTAAGACACGGAAGAGGTTGTACGAATCATGATATCAATATCTGAAGTGATGGTTTGTTTTATATTCTCCATGACGATGCCTGTCGTCATCGTAATATCTGAAACGGTGGTTTGTACCATGGTCAAAATATCTGAGGTGGTTGTCTGTACTGTGGTCCCGATATGTGACGTGGAAGTTTGCACAGTGGCCCCTGTATCTAAAGTTGTGGTCACTGTGGTGGATCGTGCTGCTGCCCCAATGTTTAAAGTGGTGGTTGGTACCTTTCTCCCGCTATCTGAAGTGAAGATTTCTGTCATTGTAATATCTGACGTGGTGGTTTGTGCCGTGGTCCCGATATCCGAGGCTGTGGTCGGTGCCATGGTTTTATCCGAAGAGGTAGTTTGTAGCATGGTCTCGATATCAGAAGTGGTGGGTTGTGTCATCATCCCAAAGTCTGATGTAGTGGTTTGTACCATGGTATTGATATCTGAAGCAGTAGTTTGATACAGTCTCCCAACATTTGATGTAGTAGTATCCAAAGTAGACGTCTTCGGAGTAGAGTTCTCTACCGTTGTCTCATCCTTTGTCGTCATGGCTTCCGTTGATGCAGAAACGTCTTGATCTGCAAATGACATAAGTGAAAGATCCTGATTTGATTGATTCGATTGATTGATTTGATTTATTGCTACATATATGTATACAAATACAATATTTTAGAAATTTACTTGCTTGCTCGCTAAAAATTGCGAAAGATTAAGAATTAAACATTTCATTGTTAAACACTAAATATTACATATACACCAATTTAATGTTAAAACATATGACATCTCAAAGAAAAATCATTTTAAAAAGGGACATTACAAACATCATTTACTTGAGTTCAAAACATAAGGGGAAAAAACACAGTTGTTTAAAATTCCCTTTACGTCCCTCGAGTGATCTGTATTTGTTTCTCATCATCTAGAAGAGCCCATTAGCAGGATGAGATTCATCTGCAGTTATTGAACGAGCTTGTGTCAAAGTTGGCTGTTGTTAGATCTCCTCTGTCGAAGTCAGTTGAACACCAATAATCTGCGACGCTGTATCAACTACACGAGCTATTTTCCTTTTTGGCGTCAACAGTAATGTTCCCGTACCAAACACACTGTAAATAAGGTTGGATAAAACACTGTTGGGCAATGTAATTTACCCAGAATTGGTATGAAATTATCTCATATTGGGTTGAATTTGGTAAAAACTGTCAAACTATTGGGAAGAATTTGCCCAAGAGTGTTGGCAGTTGATAATTCGACCAGCGTTGGTCGAATTATCAACCTATTTTGCCCAACTTTTTTTTACAGTGCAGTGACAGAGAGAGTAGGAACGCTCTTCATGACAGGATTACAAAACATAGTGAGAACATCAGTGCTTACACGAAAACTTCTCAAACGGCGAAGAAAATACAACCGCTGCTGAGCCTTCTTCACACAGTAAATCAACATCTTCAGCCCACGCCAAATTATTTGAGCAAAAATACCAAAACAATGTGAACCAAGACCTCCTTTCCACCTCTGTCCCACTGATAAAAGCGGCAAAACTTAATTCATGACTCCCTTACCGAAAATCAATTATCATCTCCCTAGTCTTGGCAACATTTAGCTCACAATATTACAATTACAATGGACAAACTTTTAAAAGTGGCTCAACTAGATACAAAAGTACCAGTAGTTAGCATTTACTTCGACTTGATGTGGCACATTGAGGCACTGATCAATATTGGTATTGGCCATGCTGAACAACTCTAATAGAGGGCGCTAATGATTATGGCGTGTTTGCCGACGATGATATCACTGCACACCTCCAAACCCCGCAAGACTATAGGGTGCAGTGAACTAATTCAAGTGAGAATTTCTACGCGAGCTGATTAGCATAAAGAGTGACCCCACAGTTTCTTTTGAAAACGGAGACCATTTGGCTTTAAAAACGGTGGAATTGTGTAAATAGCCAAGGATCAACTCCCTGGTTTTGGGGCTTCCATCTGAGGGCAGACTTGGTAAAATTACGGTTGAAAAATGGGTCCTATTTGCCTGAGAAGGTGGAATTAAGGATGCCAATTGTAAAACGGCTACATCCAGGCTTGGAAATCGGGAGGTGATTTTGTTTTGGTGTAAATATTTACAAATGTAATCGGCTAGTCTACCCAAGATTGAAAAGAAATGAAAAGATGAAGTACAAGACAATAATTAAATTTTTGTTTGAGAAACCCCAGTGATGTCGGCTTGCATGTTATTTGGCCCTGAACTTTGTTGATTTTACACTGTTTTCAATGGGGCTTGAATTGGTTCAGTGCACCCACGAATGCTCGCTGTAGTAGCCATTTTGGATCCACGATTCGGCCAATTGGGAGTTTTGGAAACCTTTGCTTCATCTCCGTCTCTCTGCATCGAGGAGGCGGCAGACTACCTCCTCAAAGAACATCATATGTTTGGAATTTGAGGCCAAACATTGGGGCATTTTCATTTGATTGAAGATTCTAAATGGTTTAATTTCAAAACTGTGATTAGCATGAGGCATGAGACGAGGCACACGTTCCCAAATTTCCAATTTTAACGCAAAGGCTTTACTGACAAGAAAGCATATATTAAATGACGAGGGACCATTAGCAAAGGTGCGAGTACGGGATACATACAGGGTGTCCCCCCAAAAAAAATGCTCCACTCTCCTTTTTTCCCAAATTCAAGCAAACCTGAATGCATAAATTTTCTTATTATGCATGGTAAGAATGCTATGTGCCTTGGTTGTTATCTACCCCAAAACATGGATCATACTATCAATCCACTAGGGACAGAAATGCTGAAATATGAACTCACCTCCATTTGCCATTTGCGCTGGGGACTCAAAAAGTCACAGACTCACATCACACCTTAAGTGTAAATGTAAGTGTGCACTGTGAGTCTGTGACTTTTGGGGTCAGTGGTCAGTGCCGATTTGCTTGACCGGTTCTTTTCAGATCAGAACCTTTTGTTACCTGATTTGAGGGAACCCCACTCTGAATTGTAGCACCCAGCCACAGGTGAACAATATTATTGTTACCTGTGGTTGATTTACAAATAGGTATTTTTAGTCAAAGTCCAATAAATGGACAATGCCATGGTTGGTTGGTTTTCTCTTGTTTGCTTGACAACAACTATTGACTGGTCTTTCATGATAGATACCAAGTTGAATTTTTGAAAAGCACACTTGACAAAAATCGACATTTTAAAATTGGTGATTTGAGTCCCCAGCGCAGTTGGCAAATGGAGGCGAGTTCATATTTAAGCATTTCTGTCCCTAGTGGATTGATAGTATGATCCATGTTTTTTGGTAGATAACAACCAAGACACATAGCATTCTTACCATGCATAATAAGAAAATTTATGCATTCAGGTTTGCTTGAATTTGTGAAAAAAAGGAGAGTGGAGCATTTTTGGGGGGACACCCTGTATACGGTTCGGAAACAAAACTCGCAGGTTACATCTAGGCTACATGCTGTGTGCTTATTTCACCAAACCGTCAGGTATATGTCCAACATTTTTATGTAAAATTCACATTGGCCATGGTGTGCCAGGTGACATTACCAAGCAAATTTAAATACCGATGTAACAAGCAGCGTTTTCGTAAGTATACCATTTGTAATGGTCCCTAAATGAAATGAATCAAAAACGCCGTACCCGGGTTAGCCTCGCATATGCCACAGTACATCTCCACACAGTCCGCTAGCTCGAACATCCCGTCCGTCTCACGTAGCGCCGTGCACATGTGCGTGCCGTCTGGGCTGAATTGAGCCCAGAACTGGGCGTCAACCAAAGTGCCATCTCCCCACTGGAGGGCGTTCTTGTCGGCCCCCTACATCGAAAACGGAGTCAGGAAAATATGATCGATGTCAATGACATTATATCTTGGGAATATGGGCTGACTGAAAACTGTTTTCGCAAGGTTCTTCTAACTGTCATAGCGACCAAGGTGCCATTTAAAACAGTTACTGACAAAACATTTCTCCAAGTCCAGGACACCAACAGTTGGGTAATGTCAGTTTTACTGTAATTAAAATCGACGGCAAGGATTTGCAGGAGCAAACATCAAAATGAATAATGGAATAAATGTGTGTTCGGGAGGTATTATAACACTCTGTTTAAGACCGGTGGGAGTCTGGATGGGTGATAATTACCCGAGGCGAATTATCACCCATCCAGACTCCCACTGGTCTTAAACAGAGTGTTTAATACCGACCGAACACATATTTATTCCCATTCATAAATACCTTTTCGGTCAAAAAAAAATCTTTTCGGTCCAAGAATCAAAACAAGCCAAAAACTAGACGTTGCCAACCATTTTGTTTAATAATTTTACTTCATGTTTTTTAAACACCCCTCCGACTATAATTAGAATGTCCCTCCACAACTCAGTACCTTATAAGGAGATTGGCGTGGGCCTCGCGCGTACTGCGCGATGTCGCGCAAAACGCAGCTGGGCTGATTTAGTGTTGAATTTGAAACTATGAAATACTGATTCACTGGTAGTATTGCGCATGCATACGTGAGGAATGTTGACGTTCAACCAATTAAACGTTAAATGGCACCAGATTTCGTGGGAGTCCAAATTTCATGTGACACTGGAAAAGTGTTGAATACCAGCCAGCCATGTCTTTATTATCTGTTTAAGACCGGACAAGTGACGGGCTCTCCACCAATAGGAATGGGTAAACTGTCCTAGGTATTTATGTATGCATGCTATAAACTACCAAGTTATGTCTGTGGCTGTAGTTTTTAAATCGACCTTACCGCGTCAACCTGCAACCCCAGCCATATAAGTTCGCCCGCAGCTTGCCATCCGGGACACTGTGATGTGGCAGCGACCAGGTACTCCTCCTCGGCCTCGCTGTTTACGTAGGGAAGATGGGCTCCCTTGTCGAGGCAGTAATCCCTGGCTTGGCCCCAGCTCGCCCTGACTGCGTCGCCTATCGAGTAGCACGACTCGAGGGCCGCCTGAAAGCCGTCGAGCTTGCAGGTGGCGTTGCCTGACGATGCAGCACAGCGCCCGAGAATTGTCCCCTTTGAGGAAAATGAAATACATTTTTGAAAAGTTGAGAAAGGAAATTGACTGGAGCGGGGCTTGAACCCGCGACCTCTGGATAACCGTTCCAGTGCTCTACAATCCTATGTTGGCGGCTTGTGGTTCACTTGAAGAAAAAAATTAGTAAAATTATTCATTGTTTGGCGGTGAATATTAAGGGCTAACGAACATGACGAAATTGTGTTCTATTCAGACTGAGTTTTTTTTTTTCGCCAAACAATGATTCAGTGCTTCACTGTTGGTTCTGAGTATAACACGCACTGGCGTTGCTGGAAGGGTGTTTTTGTAGAAGAAACATGCCGTCCTGTTCGCAAAATCGTTGGCGAAACAAAAGATTTAGTTGGCTTCAATTCGGTTTGTGTTTTTCACGCTTAACACACTACATTGTTTTGGTTATATTAATATTTTTTGACAATTCATCTCCAAATTCAACATGCTTTGTTATATATCACAATCAATCACATATGTCGTGAATCATTGTCCGGAAAACGAGTGTGCTGTTTTTGTTCCATGAAAGTTGACTTTACTTGGGATTGTATTTTTTCCGCGATTAACACAATTCATTGTTTTGGTAACATGATTTTTATGATTTGACGATTCCTCTCAAAATTCAAAACGCTTGTGTTATGTCACGCAAACTCAATAGACGAAGTTTTAATTGAATACGACAGGCATTTTCTGAGTTATCGGCCACACAACGAGCGTATTGTTTTTGTTCAATAGTTAGGCAGGTTTTCAGTAGACTTTGACTTCAGTTAGGCAGGTTTCTCTCGGTGTAGACAAAATCTATTTACGGTGGTGACCACTATTTGTGTAGCGCGCCCTCTTTTGAAAGAAACGTTCGGTTGGCTTCAATTCAGCTGGTATTTTTCGCGCTCATTATATTATTATTTTTTTATTGCTTGACGATTTCTCTCGATATGAGATGTGTCTTATAAATAAGGGCCGATCACTAGACGAAATTTCAATTTAATAAAACTACATTGTTTTGGTTTGGCAAACTTTCACCAACGCAACTAATATAGGCCAAATAAAAAAATTAATAAAAAGTTTCGTCCACGACCGCATCCCTTTTTTTCTGCTGCAACAGTTTTCTTTCTTTTCACTTTTTAACGGCGAATCTGTGTATTTTTTGACAATTACCATCAGAAATATATTGTGTCTCAAAATTTGTTTCCAACATGACTGTGTCACCATTTTGAGGTTAAAAAAATAATAATCTTAGAAAAGTGATGGCATCGTTTGAAAAAAGCAGTATCCACCGTCTTGTAAAAACAATCTCGCGAAAGCGGTGGATGCATTGAAAATAGCCTTCCGTCATTAGCAAAACAGGTGTCCGCATCCTTCTTTTTTTAAACAGTTTGGAGGAGAAACTTTTTTTTTTTTTGGCCTTCTTAGTTTTACGTTTGGCAGATGAAGACCTCGTATAACACATCCACCGCAAAGCCGTAAAACTGTCGAAAACGCAGCCGCACAATCGCTCACGCCATGACATCAATACCTATCCGTCGGTTATTATGATTTTTTTCTTATACCAGTAAATCTCGCAAGTCGACCGTTGTCTGCCTTCTCCGCAAAATCCACAAAATGCGGATTGTTTTTAATCAGTCATTGATGGTAACCCCATACCAAACACACCCTGGTCGGACAGTGACAAATTATTACTTCAACTGGCACGATTTTTACGACCGTTTTCTGGAATACGTTCGATTGCACAAATCCCCAAAGAACACTATCTGACGCCAAATGAATGAACTCTGATATCCCTGCGGTGTGATTTGTGTTCCCTCCCTGAATGGGACTGGTTAAACAGAGAGATTGACAAGAACGTGAGACTACGGAGTCACAACTACCGAGTCTCTTCAGTTTAAAAACACATCATATCGCCAACCAATGGTTAAACGTTCACAAGCTATAAGGTGTGTGGTGTATTATTGACGACACACTGCGTTGTCTTTTCAATACACGACGCGACTACACGACGCAATGGCACGACATCCCCGTGCGTCGCATTGAGCCATCGCACTATGTGTCGTCCGTTCCATCTTGCAGTATTAAAATTAATAAGGCGCCTTATTTAAACGTCACTCCTTTTGTCGCCCGCCGGGTCGCGTCGTACTTGACGTCGTGCGTCGCTTTGGGCTTTGCGTCGTCCATCGCGTCCTGCTTCGCGACGTCCCGTGTGCATCGCGTCGTGCCGTACGTCGTACTATCACCGGTCGCCCTGTGCCCTCACCAAACGTTCAATTACGTTCAATTTATGATAAACCTATATGGAAATCACCCCCCCCCCCCGCCACTGTCCCCTCCAAATGCTGACTAGAAATCGCCGCCATCGGTGCGTATCAGACGGGTTACACGAAGGGTTACGCGTACTCTGCGATAAAAAAGGTACGGGGAGTACGCCCCGTTGGATTTTCATGTTGGATTTGCGCTTCAGCGAACTATACTACTGAAAAATGAGCTTCATTTATTGATATTGATGCCTAATTGGCATATTTGGCGAGAAAACGAGGCAGAAAGCTAGCAATCAATGGTTGTCCTCATTTTTTTGCCGGAGTAACTAAATTATGAAATGAACCAAGGTCACTTTATGATCCAATTTGTGAGAGAAAAAATATTACCAGAAAGGCCATAGCAATGTAACGTGGCCCAATTTTTGGATTCTAATTTGAAACGTCACAGTGGTGTTTGTCTTATTTCTGAAAAGGGATAATACCTTTTCTAGGATGACTGTTTCATACTTTAAAAGGCATTTAGCCAAATTCTGTTTTTATACTCAGCCACCAACGAATGAATCACCCCTTTTAGTACCTAATTGTCTTAACTGGATACACAAGCCTTGTCCTGTTAATTTATAGACATGTAAGTTATACATTAATTTTACACACTAGGTCTCAGTAAGCCTAACTCTCTTATTCTACTGGCTTTGCATTTTGCATTTAAGTAGAAAATTGGAATAACCTATTAACAGTATTGACAAGAAATGAGGCAGAGAGCAAGCACTTAGTGACTGTGTTCCTTTGTGTATATTCCGGCGGTTAATGTATATTTGAAACGACAACATAAAAAAGAAAGGCTTCAGTCATCACGCTATTTGGTGAAGATGTTGATAATTGAGTACTGCAGCCTTTATTAAGGGTGATCGGGCACCACCCGGTCATTATTTTCCCTGACAATAATTCTCTAGTTTCATTATTTTACTCCCTGCACCTTGTTTTTATCACATAGTACGCTTAACCCTTGGTGTAGCACGTCTGATACGCACCAAGGGCGGCGATTTCTAGTTGGATTTTGGAGAGGACTTTGGCGGCGACAGACGAATCTGAGGGGGGGGGGGGTTGCAATGTAGGCATGTAAATTGAACGTTTGGTGCTGGGAGTTTCTATACCTTATCTTTTTTAAGTGCTCCCAACGCGTCCAGTAATGGCTTGCACCAGGTGTTTTCCCCCTACTTTTGTTCGTCTTAACATGGTAGGGGGTCTGATTGACGGGGATAGTCAAGTAGTCAAAAAGGTCCCCAAATGGTGTTGAGCCCCATTACCCTACATTTGTTAGAATTAAGTTTCCAAGAAAGTTCATGAAAAGTTGCATCAGTGGAAGGGTGCCAACAAGAGCGCCCTCATTTCGATGGGAACTACCTCAGGAGGGCACAGGGCGGCCGGCGACGGCACGACGCGATGCACAACGCGTACAACGCGATGCACGTAGGCCTAAACGCGCCCCTCTGACATTGTGTCTTGTTGTGATCCAAAATACTTCAGGACACGTGTTACATTAATGTTTCAAGCCCACTAGTTTTTTTTTTCTTCCTGACAGGTTTTCTGATATCTCAAAAAAGTATGATGTCAGTAATACTATCAGGCCTATCTGGGAATCATTGTCCCATTTCTTAGCCATTGTTTTAACACACACAGGTGTTCTGACATTCCACTGTTGCCAGCTACTCAGACCTGCCCGTTGTCCTGTCACGACTGGGCGCAAACTATTGTCTTCGCAAAACAGGTGGATCTGTCAATCTAAAACAGGGGCGCGTTCCGTTCCATCAAACGCTGCCAATTACTTTGTGGAAAGCCAATTGGAAATCGCAGGCAACGTCTGGCAACGTTTTTCACATAAGAGGAATGTGTCCCCAGTTGTGGCACCAATCATACTTTCGAATATAATAAAAAATCAATTTGCCTACGGGTAGGGTGTTTATCCATCACACAATAAAGCACACATATGAATTCCTTTGGGGAACTAACCCACCGGGCCGGTTTTTATGTGCAACCTCTATGAGAGAATGCGGCGAAAAATCATTAAAAACGGGCCTTTTTTCACATCTGTCGCCACCACTTCATTATTCTACAAGGTATACCTTAGATCTCACTACAGTGTGACCCTAACAATATACTCTTTCAGAAAATGAAAGAAAAACTGAATAAAACACTGAGTTTTACTCGCGTATTGATGTTAAACATTGCATTTTTAGTCAAAAATCTCCCTGTTTTGTGTGTAAACCACGCGTTCAGCCAAGAACTGGTCCATTAACATCATCATAACGTTAAATAGCGCCACCTGGGAGCTTAGATCTCTCGAGTCATTTTTCTTCGTCTCATCAGCTTTCCAACAATATAACCCTTATTGTGATTGGTTAAGGTTTAGGCTCGCGTGTATTCATTTACTAAAGAATTGTACATCTAAACTCCAATAAAATTTGCCGTTGCTCAATGGCTCAGCGCGTAGGGTCTGTTTATTGTACACGTGCTAGGCAGCGCTACTGTATATACACAGAGCCCGGGAGCTCTTATCTCTGTGTGTCCAAGGTCATCTGGCTGTGCGCTTTTGCCAGTTTACATGGGGTCCTTTTGACCACAAAGGATTTGATATGCTCCCAAAAACAGAAGATGTACTTTGGCAAGCTTTGATTGATTAAAGAAATAATAAGCTAACAATCTACATACTATGTATACTAATCTGGAATCAGCAGTAACATAATTACATTTTTGTAATCATGTTACTGCAATCAATTACACAGAGACCTGTGATTATTCCTATACCATGTCGGTTTACGGTAACCCCTGCGTCAACATTTCACCAATATTACGCCTGGTAATCGAGTACTCGAGTGCTATGTAAACAGTGTTTCAACCGTAATAAAAGCTGCAGGATGCATTCCCAATTACTCCCGGTTACCCGAATACGAAAACGGGATATTGTACAACCACACGGCTGGAGTGACCGTTGTGATGAACATGTTCATTATTGTGTCAGTTCCGGAAGCGAACTGTTATGGTGGGACACAACATCCGTTGGGACTTGTTGAAATTATCTGTTAGTAATGAAGCGCGAAATGTGTGGGGTGTGCCAATAAATGCATTAATTTTGAGGACAAAAGGAAGGATTAGGGTTTTATGGCGTAACAAACTGAATTTAATCCTCCATTGTTTTATGTTTTACCGCACTGATATGTTGTCAATAATATTGGACAGTGCCACATCAGATTCACAAAATGCGTTTACCTATTGTCATCACATGTACATTCATCATCGTATTTAAAGTATAAAGAATATTTTTAGAAAGGTTTTACATCAATTTTCATTCTAGATAAGTACATGTAGTTTGTAATTGTTTAAAATGTTATATATTTATTCGACTTGTAATTACTTGAAGCGTTATATTTTTATAGTGAGCAGTCCAACCATATGTAATTGCCTTTTTTTAAGGATAAATAATGTAGTTTGAATTGAATGAATTTAATTGAATTTACCTAATGCGTCTATAGACAAATCCGACGGCAGCATTGATCTCCATTACTAATGGAGATCAATGGGCGGCAGTCATTTTCTGCCGTGGCGCAAGGCTCGCGCGAGTCGCGCTCGGGAAGTACACGCGTACTCCGGGCTCCTTCGACCAATAGGAACACCAAAATGCGCGTGCGACTCGCCTTTAAGAACGCGTGCAGCATGCGCGTGCCAGTGAGCGTGACGTACACCACCGCAGTAAAAGCTTCTATAACTCTGGTCGCCGGATTCCACTATAAAACAGACAAAGTGAATAATGAGATACACAACTTTAGTTAGAAAGCAAAACTAAAACAGGCAATCACTACTGACATTTTTGTTCACTCCCTATCCTCGTTAAGATCCGGCATGTATATATTATCGCACCAGATTGCTTCTTTAACCGTCAACGTTTGACATCGGAATGAACCCCTAACGCTCTCACTAAAGAGTCTTCAATCTGAATATAGTGTGAGATAAAACAGAGACGACATCTCAAAGTATACGTCGCTTGTCTAACGAGCCAAAAAACCACTCGACGTGAAAGAAGATACCAAAAAGAGCGGTCAAACGAAGAACAAACAACGATATTTTATGTCCAGGCATTATAGTGAGTTCAGTCGTCTGACTGAAGACAATAATTAGCAACCGCCGAAATGGGCCGCAGTGTTAAAGGGATTCTGACTGACTGGATTTTAAAGTATGCTTTATGTTTTATGTTTTGATAATGGCGCGTAAAAGTATATATTGGTAAGGCTATTTGCAGGAAATGCACATGACTATATACAGGGTAAGTAAAAAAAAAAAAAAAAAGTGGAACCCAAACCCCTAAAATTATATTTAAATGTGGGGTTTTGATGTAAGCGCGAGTATACATAATTATTGATAAACATCTATATCCTGAAGAGCGCCCCTAGTGTAATGTGGTGTCCAGCCCCTCCCCCCCCCCCCCCCCCCCTGCTTTTCGAATTTCCACGGCCGGGCAATTTTTTGATTTCGGTCATCCCCCATCCCCTCCCCCCCCCTCCCCCCACTCGCCGGCACAGATTTACGCCACTGGTCTAACATAACTTCAGTAAATAACAAAGGTCTCTGAGCCTTACCGGGTATTTTGGCGAATATCGGTGTGTACTTGTGGTAGAAAAGGCGTGTCACAAATATAGTTTTATTTTTCGAGAACTGTCGAGATAAGGTGTGTATACACTATATCGTGTATACATTGTGCAAGTGCTTTCGTTTTCAATGTAACTAAACCATGAACATGCCTTTCGTTCTTTATTCTATTCTAGGAATAATTAACCGTGTGTTGCAGGTTGAATTTCACGTTGCACTGGAATTACATACTGTATATGAAACTTTACCCGCTGCATAGTATGGGCCAGCCAACACAGA